AATTGCGGGTGGGTTTTGTAGTTCGACCCTTTATATATGTTTGTGATTGTGGCATGTGGAAGGTTCTGCAGAGAATGTCGATAAAAGACCTGCTTTAAACATTTGGTGTTCTTAACTGATTTGGATCGATGTGCAAAGTGTTCAAGAATGCCGAAAAGGAAACAAAAGGAAAAAAAGTGATTGATTGCTTCTATTTGGAATAGGATAAAATAGAAATGCTTAACAAGAGTGTGTGAATTTTCTTTCCAACTATAGCATCTATTTGCCAATCCCACCAACTTAAATTTTTAATTACCTTTACTTGTGCCACTAAAAGTTTTGATTTCCTTTTTCTTTTCTTTGCTCTAGGGAGAGGAATTAATCACTTACAAGGCAAAAATGGATCAAGAACCAAATCAAAGAGAATTGCATGAGGAAAAGGTGGGGGAGAAAAATTCAAGAGCTCCAAAGCAGTTTACAGAATCTAACTGCTCACGAACCATCGCAACCACATCTTCCCATGCTGTAAATGGTAAAAATCTCGAGAAGCCCAGCCACAATGAGGCACCAAAAGAAATGCACGAAACGAAAATCAGAGATGGTAAAAATGACGATCGAGAGGAGAATGTCAAGGTCTGATTTATATGCGTTTCGTCCTTTTTTCTTTATTTTGTTTGAGTTTTTGGGTAGTAATTAGTATTATTAGTTAAATTTTGTTGATATGGGTTTTACTCTACTAGGATTCGGAACCTACTGTTGTCAGTGGCAATGGAACAGAAACTGGTCAGATAATTGTTATCTCAGTTGGTGGGAAAAATGGCGAGCCAAAACAGGTGATGTTGCGCAATGTCAATTTCTACATTGAAACTTTTTTTTGGTTATTAATCTGGTGCCATCTAATAAATGAAACTGATTCTTGCATGCTCAATTTTCTCAACATTGTCCTAATTTTTGTTCAATTTTTACTTCAGACAATGTCATTTATGGCGGAACGTGTTGTGGGCACTGGTTCATTTGGAGTCGTGTATCAGGTACTTGTTTATAAAAAGTTATACCAAGAATAATTAAATAATAGTTTTACCTCTTTTATAACCATATTTTTTCATTTATAGGCCAAGTGTCTAGAAACGAGTGAATTTGTAGCCATAAAGAAAGTGCTGCAGGATAAGAGATACAAAAACCGAGAGCTGCAGATAATGCGATTGCTTGATCATCCTAATGTCATTCACTTGAAACATCATTTCTATTCAACTACTGAAAAAAACGAGGTGTACCTCAACCTTGTTTTGGATTATGTCTCTGAAACTGTTCATCGGGCTTCGAGGCATTACATCCGGGTGAATCAGTACATGCCCTTTCTGTATGTTCAGCTTTACACGTACCAGGTATATATATAAATGATTTGCAAATATCTTTTCTTCTACTATTGATGTGCATTGAGAAACAAAGAATGAAAATAGAATAGCTGATAAAAATCATTGTTGGTGTTGTTTTGTTTTAAATTTGCAGATTTGCCGAGCACTAAATTACATTCATAGAGTTATTGGGGTTTGTCATCGTGACATTAAGCCACAAAATCTGTTGGTATGAATCTTTTTCTTGGTAAAAATGTTCTTGTTCTGTTAATGCATGGTCTTGGTATGTATTGTGTACTTTGTTAACCTTATATTTAAATGAAAAGTTAGTTGATTAAAAAAAGAAAACAAGACGATGGTTATCTATTGCATGGAGAAAAGAAAGAGAGTCGTTTGAAGTGTTTTAAAATAACTTCCGCTTTTGAATTTTATATAATTTACTTGATATCTAATAGTAAGGGAGGATTACTATAGATTTTCAATTTTCTGCTTTGAATTTGAGACTTTTACTTTTGAATAAATCATCTTTTTGACTTACTGGCCTCACACCCTTTATCTCGTACCACCTTTTGCTTCTAGTTTCAAAATCTGATGACTTCTCACTTATTGAACTGAATAAGTTATTGAACTGAATTCACAATTATTTCTACATGAATAATAGTCTGTTTGGCTGTAGCTCAACCTATCTTTAACATTTTCTGCAGGTTAACCCACACACCCACCAGCTTAAAATTTGCGATTTTGGGAGTGCAAAGATGTTGGTATGTATAATTTTGGTATAAAGCTTAAATTGATTCCCATTCACAAAAATTGTAACTGGGAATTATATTTTTTTCAATTGCTACAGGTACCGGGTGAACCAAATATATCGTATATTTGCTCTCGGTATTATAGGGCTCCCGAGCTTATATTTGGAGCTACAGAGTACACAACTGCAATCGACATGTGGTCAGCCGGTTGTGTTATGGCCGAGCTTCTTCTTGGGAAGGTATGTGTTTTGGTTTTGGCCTTGGTTACTTTATACATCTCTTTCGTTTTTATTTTTTATTTTATTTTTCTACGTTTTGAAATCTACTTCTAATATTATCCGAATAAACACAGCCTCTCTTTCCTGGGGAAAGCAGTGTTGATCAGCTAGTTGAAATAATCAAGGTATAATTCGAGACTTCGATTTTCTTTATTTTCCTCTCTTGTTCATTCATTTTATTTATTATCATTTATATTTAGNCCCCAACTAGGGAGGAAATCAAGTGCATGAATCCGAATTACACCGAATTTAAATTTCCTCAGATTAAAGCCAACCCATGGCACAAGGTTCGTTGAGAAAACTTACTGTCCAAAATTTGAGATGTTTATATATTTCGCAAACCGTTTCTTTTGCATAACCTATTCGCAAACCGTTAGGAAAAAATGCTGCAAGTTATTTCTGGAAAATAAATCGAGAAGTAGTTTTATTTGCTCAATTTTTATTTTATTTTATTTTATTTTTTCTCTCCAGGTTTTCCAAAGGAGAATACCACCTGAAGCAGTAGATTTAGTGTCCAGGCTACTCCAATATTCGCCTACTCTACGTTTCACTGCTGTGAGTTTTCTTATTGATCCTTGTCAGTGTTACGATTAACAGAACATACTCGAAACTCACTTGTGATGATATTTCAGTTTTGAGGCTCACGAAAAATGCCTATTGTATTTACAGAAAAAAAAGGGGAAAAAATAAAAGCCTTCACTTTGTGTGTTTTCCTCTATTTTACAGTTGGAGGCTTGTGCACACCCATTTTTCGATGACTTGAGAGAGCCTAATACATGCTTACCCAACGGGCGAAACCTTCCACCTATCTTCGACTTCTCACCTGAAGGTTAATGTCTAATCAGAAATAATTTTGGTTTTAAAGACAAAAACCAAACTTAAAGTATTACGAATGCCTGTAGAGTTTGTGTTTGGTTTATAATTATTCCCATCCCAAGTTACAATCTGCAAAATGGTGCTAATTCTTACAGAACTGGCTGATTCACCTCCCGAGCTGCTACAACGCCTTGTCCCACAACATGCAAAGAAGTGATTTTTTTCAGTATTCATCTGTTGCACATACTATTTTTGGATGCTTTTGAGCCCGTCTGCACGATCATTTCAGACAGGCATGTTCCTAATGGAATTGTAAAAGTCGATGTTGAGGAAGTTCCGAAGGTTTCTAGGGTTAGATCAATTATGCGTAAAACTATTTTTTTTTTTAATTACGAAAAAAAAATCATTGAAAATTAACTTTGTAAATTTGTCATCTTAAAAATGTGGAGTAAATATGTAGTTCAAGAATTTGGGTTGGCTTCTGCAGATGATGAGCAATTATATTTGTAGATTTTAGATGTGCAGTGTTGAGATGGGAGTATCACTAACTATTGGCATTATTAGGTTATTTGGGTATATAGATGCATTTTGTACTCATTCTTTTGTACGGTTTCTTTTTAGTTTTCTCACTTTTATAAATATAATAAACAAATTAATTATTGGTTTTCTGTTCTTGGTAAATTCTTTTGGTGTGGTCAGTCTCCAAATTAGGTATTTATTGTATCCAAATTACGTATTTGGATAAACCAGTAATTCTATAGAGCAATCGAATGACTCTATTATGGAGTCATCTATAACTTTATGTATTGACACGTGTCCAACGTGTATTTATTGCCGGATACGTGTCAATCCACTATTTATGGATAACTATGGATGACTGCATAAATCGAGTCATTCGATGGTTCCATAGCAAAACCGTAAAATAAATATACACTCACACCATTTTTAGTTCATAGTTTCGTGTGGTTTGTCCTAATCGGATACATGATGTTATCGGCTCGATCATCGATTCGGCCAAGTTTCAGAGGAGATAGCGAGGGTGTTGTTGGTCAGCCATGGTGCCTTGATTGTTTGGTTCGGATGATTCAGGAATAAGGTTGTCCAAAAGTTCCCTTAGGTTTTCGTGAGTAGATTTGTCTTTCAGAGCTAATAAACGTTCACTCCTGGTACGTATACACTCAAACAAAAAATGGTTTACGAGCACCAACAATAAACAAGGGAAAATAAACCAAAAAATGAAATACAAGAAAAGCAAAAAGCAACTAAGCAAAACACTAAACAAAGAAAAACACAAGAAACAAGAAAACAAGAAAAACATAGAGAAACACATAAAATAAGAAGAATAGGCGCACAAAATAGTATAAATCAATCATCATTACACATCACATCAATTTTAATGTATTATTATTTACTCACATATTTTTTCCTACTTATCATTTTTAATAATATCTCATACTTTTACATCACATCGACTTTAATCATTATATTTTAAATATTATTTTAAACAGATCACATTCAATCCTCCATTTAATCATTTTTATTTAAAATTAACTTATTTTAACCAATAAATCAGATCAATCCGGGTTTATTTATATCCAATCGCCTTTTACTGAGAGTAATCGAACACAAAAACCGAATATTTCAACAACTCGCCTCTTTCGATCTAATTTCCGTTGCCTCCACTCAGCTGCAGGTCCGACGCCTTCGTGGAGACGACCCTTCCGGTGCAGCCCTCACCCCCTGGCTCGTTCTGTCACTTCAATCGATATAGCTTGCCCTCTTTGTGTAAGCTCGTCGGCTGTCTTGGTGGCAGTTTTTGACGAGGTGAGCGGCGCAGTAGCGTGCTCGAGTCTGCCGACCTTTGCTTCTTCTTCTCCTCCGTCTGTCTTCTGGGGTTGAGACGGGGAGTGACCGCCGGCGGATGCTCTCTTTAGCTTCGTGACTTTGGGGCTTCTGTTGGTTTTGTGGTGAGTTGAAGACAGTGGGGGTTCGGGGCGCGTTACTCGGTCAGTCTTTGCTCTGTGGGTGGGTCTAGCTAGCCGTCACTGGCTCTTGGTGAAGGGAGTGGTTAGGTTTGTGCAGGGGCAGGGTTCTGACTCGAGAGGTTGTCTTCAGCTCTCGTCTCCCTGATGACTCCTGTTTAGGCTGCTCCTCCGGTGAGCTAACGATCACAGATGTCGAGTGGTATCATCCCTTGTGCGGATGCCATGGCGGCGGTAGTTGGTGGTCACTGGTTCTTGGGTGGGGTGTGGAGCTTGGGCTTATAGCCGTGTGCGGCTGTTGGCCGAGGTCAGGGCTTCATGCTCTCTGTCCTCTTGTCTATCAGTGACCGTAGTCCTTGGGCCACGGAAGCTGATTGGTGTGAAGGGGAGGACATTTGGTTCTGGTCTGTTGGAGTTATCTGTGGTGGTCTTTCGGGGGAGGCTTTAGGTCTGTCGATTAGGGTCGAGTTAGCCGTAGGGGGAGTTTCTTGACCCGTGTGTTTTTGGTTTGGAGGTTTGGAGCCTCTTCAGTTTCTGCTTTGGAGTCGGTTGGGTAGCGAAAGTCCTGGGTGCTTGTTCGGTTGGCGGGGAAGGTGCTCTTTCTAGAAGTCTGTTTTTGTGTGTTTATTTTCAATAGTTAGTTGTGTGTTTTTCATTTTGTGTTTTGTTAGCTCATTTGGGCTTTGTTGTATTCTCTTGCTGAGAGTAGTGTTTATTCTCCTGTTGGAAGCCTATGTGTTTAGGTTTTGTGTGCTGTAGTTGGGTTGGCTCTAGGCTGCCTCGGGCTATCAGCCTATGGGGTTTGTTCTCCCAACTAGATTCAACTAAGTAGCTGACTTATTCAGCTGTTTAGTCGTTTTCTAGTTTGTAATTATGTATTTTTCTTTTAATGAAAGCTTATNCCTAGTTTTGGCTTCAATAAGAAGGTTGAATTTATTGTATAATACCAATTTTATTTAAAAAAAATATATATTTTCTTAAAGTGGATTTAATTTATTTCGATAAAAATTGGTGTATTTAAAATTTAAAATAAAATTCACTTTAGAATTTTTTTATTAATTGAAACAGATGACGAAAATCAGTCCCTCTCCTTGTACACCTATCCACACACTCAAAAACAGTCGCACAATTTCCCAAACAATAAAAAACCCCATCCAAAAAACACACCGGCAAACAAGTCTCCGATGCCTTCCGACGGCCCGACGGCGCCGTTGCTGGGGGACCACGAGCCCCGCGCCCGCCTCCGTCCGCGCTTCCTCCGGCGCCCCCCTAGCCTCCGTGGTGCCGCTCGGTTCCTCCGGCGCGCCAGCAGCCGGAGCCGCGCCATGCGCGAGCCGTCCGTCCGCGTCAGGGAGGCGGCCGCCGAGCAGATTGAGGAGCGGCAGAGCGACTGGGCCTACTCCAAGCCGATAGTGCTCCTCGACCTCATCTGGAACATCGCCTTCATCGTCGTCTCGATCTCGGTGCTGATCATGAGCCGGAACGAGACGCCGCCCGTGCCGCTGAGGCTCTGGATCGTCGGTTACGCGGTGCAGTGCGTCCTCCACGTGGTGTGCGTTTGCTCGGAGTATAAGAAGAGGAACTCGCAGCGGGATTTAGAAGCGAGCGGGAGAGGTCAGTTCGTTTACAGTCGGAGCTACTCGGATTCGAGCTCGGGAAGTGATGAATCCGATACCGGCGGTTACTTTTTCGGTCGCCGGCAAAGTGATGATGAAGCTAGGTACAATTAATTGAAAATATGCTTTTCTCGAAATGTGGGTCTGAGTTTAGTCTGAAATTGCTGTGCTTTAACTCCGATTTGAGCTTGTTAGTTGAACAGACACGAAGTTATTTTGCGGAATTCATGTGGGTGGATATGTTGGTTATGTGAATAATTTCTGATTGAAGAACACAATCATTCATATGTACCCAGTACAGCAATCTTAGTAACAACTTGCTGATGATTTTGGACAGCTTTGCTAAGCATCTGGAGTCCGCAAATACTATGTTATCGTTCATTTGGTGGGTCACCGGGTTCTATTGGGTGTCGGCTGGTGGCCAAAACTTGACTACTGAATCACCTCAGCTTTACTGGTCTGTCAGAAAATTCAGCATGCTTTCTTCAGCCTTTAACGTATGGATCTCTTTCTGTTACATATAATCTATTTTTTTTGCAGGCTTTGCATTACATTTTTGGCATTCGACGTGTTCTTTGTGGTTGTCTGTGTTGCTGTTGCTTGTGTTGTTGGACTTGCTGTTTGCTGCTGTCTACCGTGTATCATTGCACTCCTGTATGCTGTTGCTGATCAGGTATGGTTTGAATATGGAGTAATTGGATTTGCCCTTTCTTATTATAAGCAGTTGAAGCAAATTTGGAGGGATTGAAGTTATTGGTACCTCGTATCCAAGGATCATCCCAGATTTTAGTGTTCCTGCCATTTTCACTTTCAACTCTCAAAATCTTTGCAAGGATTTTCGCATTTGATCCAACTATTCCTCAGCACGAAGCTATGTGATTATGTTTGGCACTGAGATGACCATCCATGGAGAAATATTTGGCCCTGAAGAATTTAATCTAACTTTTCTTAGCATTAACTATTGAGTGGAGATGTTGAGAAACTTGAAAATGACATCTAGTCTCTGTTGTAAGAATTGATTTATCATTTTTTTTATTGATTTGTGTTGTGTTACAGGAAGGAGCTACTAAGGAAGACATTGAGAGGCTACCTAGATACAAGTTCCGGAAAATCAGTGATCTTGAGAAGCAAAGCAGTGAAACTGAAGTTTCTTATGGAGGAATAATGACTGAATGCAACAGTAACTCACCCACAGAGCATGCCCTTCCTCAAGAGGATGCTGTATGTCTATCTGCACCATGTTCTATTTTTCAAATAACGCAATGCCTTCAACCTTTTTGGACTTTGTTTTATACTACAAAATCATTGCTTTAAATTTTAGAATTATTTTTGGTGCATTTCTATGCTGGTTTTTTTTATCTTTTTGGTACGCTGAGTTGGGCCTTGGCCCATGTCCAGAAAGGTACACCAATTTGGCGCACATCAAGCTTAATACACAAACTTGCTAAAAGAATATAACAAAAAAACATTTCTATGCATATTGTCGCTTTCAGTAATCTACATTAAATCACGAGGGGTACTTGTTTTCCCTAAACAATAATTAAGCTAAATATGAATGTAATTGTTCATATGCGGTGATGCAATTGTAATTTCAGCAAATAGACAGCATCGTGGCAATTACCTCTCGTATTTTTTGGAAAAAAAAAAATGTTGGGTTTATTCTAAAATCTAAAATGTTCCTGAATATGGATTCCAGGAATGCTGCATTTGCCTGAGTGCTTACGATGATGGAGCTGAACTGCGTGAGGTTCCTTGTGGCCACCATTTTCATTCCGCCTGCATAGACAAGTGGCTCTACATAAATGCCACCTGTCCTCTTTGCAAGTTCAATATACTGAAAAATGGCAACCAAGATGGCAGTGAAGAAGTATAGTCGAAAAAACCGTCCATACTGTTTGGCTTTCTGGCATATTATTGAATGTGTGGTGGCGTTTGGTGGTTGTGTGGAATTTCTTGTTTCTCTATGCCACATTCAAGCAAAAATGAATCGTGCCAATATCTCGAGAGTATGACACAATTTGTAGTAATACTCTGTTCGGTTTGACATGATGTGGTACACATATGATTGTAGTACATGTTCACGATGTTTATGCAGGCTGGCTTAAATTTGTAAATTCGTTGTAGCATTGTTTCAGTTTGCTGTGGGTTCAAGGCATTCGTAAATTCGTTGTAGCATTGTTTCAGTTTGCTGTGTATTTTGGGAGACGATTGTAAGTTCATTCGTAAATCCTAGTACGAAGATTTTCTTGTTCTGTTGTACATAGATCAATTGTGTTTTTCGTTCCTTTTTTTAATCTAAAAACTAACCGTCTATAAACGTTATGCTAGTCGACCTCTTGTACTATTTGAATAAAAATAAATACTTCTAGTATTAAATGTGTTATTTTTATTTATATTGTTTTCAAATATGACATTTTTCTGATGATAATATGAATATTTGTAAAATGAGGATGTCGATCGAATGGTTAATTCATTGAATGTCGGTCTAATGATTGGGTCGGTCTAATAGAAGGTCAACAGTTCGTAAATAAAATAATATATTGAAAATATCATTAAAACTTTAGTTATTGGCATTTTAATTACAAATTTCAATATATCTTGAAGAGATAAGAAACTATAGGAAAAAAAATACCAAAAAATTAATGAAGCTCAGAGGCGCCTAATTCACATCCTGAAATATCAGGATAATGCAATGGACCCAACCATTGCTTGAGGCAATTATCATCACAGCTTTTGAGAACCACCTGGGATTCGAACCCGGGTCTAATATAACATGGAACGGCCTTGTTCCACCACTACACCACTGGTGGTTGTTGATGCTTGAATCATACTTAAATAATTACTTAATACCCGTATACGACGGCGTCTTGGAATTCATTTTAGCAAGTTTGTATCATCTATCCCATAATTCCAGGCTAATTAATGCAAATAACAAAATTTTCCCACTCATTTTTCAACCAATTATGGTAAAGCCGTTACATTTTTTTATATTGCTTAAGTGTAATCATATTTTAGTAATTATTCTATTTTATTATAGTTATTACTAAAATCAACTTACTGTAATTTGCATTAAATGGTATATGTAAATTACATAATAATGAAAAATTACATTGCATTTTCTTTTCAAGCTATTTACTCTAAAAGTAATATTAGATTTTTAATCATAGAATTAATTTTATGACATGAAAAAAACCCTTCAACAATTCTATGATAATAATAATAATAATAAATATAAATATTATTGTTTTAATTTTTCTTGGTAATTAATTGGCCACAATCCTCCAAATTAAAGTAATAAAAACATGTTATGTATTCATTTTATACAATCAATAAGAGATTCATGTGTACAGTTAAATAATTTAATATTTATATTGTTCATTTATTAATAATCAAATTTATAAAATGTGATGTGTATATTATATATTTTTTAATTTTAATATTATATGTATACATAAGTTATAATACTTCATAATTTATATGTGTGCATGTGCACAGGATCAACTACTAGTGTTTGTCTATTTTCACCTGACAATTTAATGTTTGTGCCTCTTGGAACAGATAAGTCCTATGTTTATTCTCTAAAATTTTTATAATTTTAAAGTTACTAAACGTGGCAATCTTTTTGGAAAGTTTTTTAAAAATCCCACCTAAATGTGTTATTGAAATTTTCTTTAAAAAACTTAAAATTCAAACATTCAAAGAAAAGATCACAAAGAAATTTTTGGGGTACATTATGTTGATCTTAACTTTCATATAATCACAATCCTAATAAACTATATTATACGTTAAGATACAAGAATCAATTTAATTTAATGAAATTGAAGAAAAGAGACAAGGGATAGTGCGGCTGCGGCACGTCGTCCGATATGGAGAAACAAGAGCCTCATCTCACGGTCGTCCCGTTCGCAGTCCATGCCGTTGCGGAGTGCATCGCAGTCCTGCTAAAATGTAACACATCCCTGAGAGCCAACGCTTTTAATGGCGGATTTCTGGTAACTAAATGTAATTTTTTTTTTTTTTTTAAATTTGTATAATTGTATCCCCTTTTCTTCATTTGTTGATTGAGATATAGAGAGACATAAATGTTCATTGAGTTGTTAAAAAATTTAGTATTGGCAATTGAATGATGAAAATATTTGAATTTTTATTTGTATGATAATTGTGGTTATGTTTTTGGTATTAGACAATTAGTGACATTGAAACTCTATTGTTTTCGTTAATAAGGAATTGGTTATGTACTAATTGTCTTATTACTTAATCTAGAATATTTAGTAGTCACCTCAAATGGGACCAGCTCTTAGCAACTACAGACAACTAACCTAACAACTACAAAGAACTAACCTAGCAACTACTAACTTAGCAACTACAGAGAACTAACCTGTCAGCAAGAAAGAAATAACTTAGCAACAAAGGACAACTAACCTAGCAACATCAAACAACTAACCTAGCAGCAAGAAAGAACTAACCTAGCAACAAAAGACCTCTGGACGGACGGGTCGTGGGATAGGGGGAAGCTTGATAGGGAGTTGGGGGCTGGTGCGGGATTTAGCGGACATTTATTAGATCAGATCCAGCAGATCCCTATCTCGGGGGACGGTTCAGATAGCATGAGGTGGAGACTTACACCATCAGGTGTGTTTTCTACTACCTCGGCTTGGGAGCAGATCAGGCTGAGGGATCGGCCTAATCTCCTCTTCGGGGCCATCTGGAGTGACCTTTTCACCCCTACTATTTCGGTGTTCCTTTGGCGCCTCCTCTTGCGCCGGATACCCGTCGATACTGTGCCACACGCGAGGGGGATCTCCTTCCCCTCTTGGTGCGTGTGTTGTTTTGAGACTGGACGCCATGAGACCGAGACCTTTACCCACCTTTTTCTAGAGAGTGAGATTGTGAGGAGAGTGTGGGAGCATTTTGCCACTTGGACACATATATCCCTACCCACCACATACAGTTTCTTTGAGCTCCTGAGTTTTTTCTTACAGAGCACACACCTTAGACAAGTGGGCTTCCTCATTCCTTGTCTGATGCTTTGGTTCACCTGGACAGAAAGGAATAGTGCGAAGCATAGGGATATTACTTTTATGTTTTCTCACATTGTTTTGCAGGTAGAGAGACACATTTCACTCGTCATCGCATTGGGCAGGCTCACGGCCCAAGACTGGACAGGCTGCACGCCACCACATCGCTACATGGTGGCCTCATCACTACCTGTTCGGCACCCTCGGCCTAGAGCTATTGTTTGGCTTCGACCTGACTCTCCGTGGGTCAAGCTGAACACTGATGGCTCCTTTGATCGCCACACTGGAGTTGCCGGAGGAGGAGGCTTGATACGGGACCATAGCGGCGCCCTCATCACCGCCTTCCACGCGTCCCTTCGGGCCTCTTCGAGCTATGATGCAGAGATTCAGGCATTACAGATCGGCCTTCAGATTGCTGTCCACCTCTCTAGCCACATTTGGATCGAGCTAGACGCTGCGGCTGTAGCCACCCTTTTGATCTCGGGCCACCAGGGCTCGTGGCAAATTCAGCACCCGCTTATGCGTATTAGAGTTCTACTCCGGTCTGTCCATCACAGGATCACGCACATTTTCCGTGAGGGGAACAGACCTGCCGACTACCTGGCCAGCCTTGGCGCCACCATACCAGACACACATACATTTCAAACCGACACTGCTCCACTCCGCCTTCGCACTCTTGTACGGATGGACCAGCTTGGATATCCAGCGTTCCGCTTTCAGTAGTTTAGGATTTTTGCTTTCATTAGTTTAGACATTTATTTCGGGCATCTGTTAGCCCGAAGATCGACTTTGTTTCGTAGTTTCTCTTTCTTTTTCGTTTTTTCAGCTTTTCTTTTTTGTTTTTCGTTTTTTATTTTGGTTAGTGAGACTCTGTAGACTATTGTATCTTGCTCATTGATATTTTGGATTAGGCTTATTGCTTTCACTAGATTAGACTTTTGATTCTGGGCACCTGTTAGCCCGATGACAGATTTTGTATTTATTCTTTCCTCTTTGTTTTTTCTTTTTTTTTTTCTTCTTTTTTGTTTTGTTTTGCTTCTGAGACTTTGTAGACTGTAGCATGTTGATATTTTTGGCCCCAATTTTGGGGTCTTGATCTATGCACAGGTTGGGGATCCAACCCAATCCCCCGCCCTTTCAGGGTGTTGTTTGCAAAGAAAAAAAAACCTAGCAGCATCAGACAACTAACCTAGCAGCAAGAAAAAACTAACGTAGCAACAAAAGACAACTAACCTAGCAGCAAGAAAAAAATAACCTAGCAACTTAAGACAACTAACCTAGCAACAAAACTCAACTAACCTAGCAGTAACAAATAACTAATCTAGCAACAATAAACAACTAACCTAGCAACAAAGCACAACTAACCTAGCAAGAAAGAAATAGCATAACAACAAAAGACAAATGGTCAACGGTCAGCGCCGAAAGTCAACGCCGGAGTCAATGGTCAACGCCAGAGTCAACGGTCAATGGTCATAATAATATTTAAATAATTAAAAATAAAGAATTAAATAATAAAAATAAAGAATTATTATTTAAATCAAGATCTAAATTTTGTGGTTAGGAATGAGTCTCACGTCTTCACTTTAAATAAGCGGATGCATTTGAACCAATCCATATATATATAAATATATATATATATATATTTTTTATTTTTTTACTATGTTATTTAATCTAAATACTCATATTTTTTAGGCTTAATACATAGTATTTTTGGAAAGTCAACACTACCAGGGACGGATCTACATGTAACTTGGGGGAAGCCATTGTCCCAAGTACATATTAATTAACTGTAATTTCTAGTGAAGTTTGTAGTAAACTTTGGCTCTATCGAACATACAAGGAATTGGAGTTAGCATTCTATGTGTATATGATCGACATAAGATTCAACTTATTAGATATTACGAAGGTTCAGTGAGCACCATGCCGAATCTTATCGATAAGAAAATCATTTTTATCTCTAAAAGGGCGTCTTTAAAAAGAGTCGTGGGGGTCGGTGGATGTAAGCTTTAAGTCAATAAGGACAGGGAGATAAATTTCTGCATTTCTACCCCCATAATAATTCCATTCTTCCATCCATGAGATACGCTGAAACGGTCAGTATACCTAATCAAGCTCAAAGCCTTAGGCTTAAAGCCCATTCACTTATCACCTCCTTCGCCTTACAGCATGCCCACTGCGTGTCCTTCGGATGTCCCTTTTACATATAGATCAAACCAAACCCATTCTAGGATTCAATCCAGCCAAGGCACGGTATGCATGGAGCACCAGCTCTCTGGTAGGTACGTGTGGAACCAGAACAAAAGACAACTTGTGTTCACCGCTGGTCAGGATGTAGAGACCTAGCATGGACGGGATGGAGGCATGAAAAACTGAACATGAATTTCATATTCATAGAATCAATATTAATTCTTCTAGAAGGATAAGATTTCATGCAATCATATGTATGTCCCTTAGCCATGCCTTTGGGGGATTTTTTCATGTTGAGTTGTGTTAATGTGCTGTGCTTGTTAAATTCTTTGGAGCTCCACGTTAGACCCACTCTTTGTCACCTTAAGAAAATTGACTTATTGGCTGTGTGTCTGGGCCTACGATGGACCTTTACATAGAATAGGAGAGTGCTTTTCATTAAGCCCAATCTGTGGTTTTGTCACACAATAAGATCCAATTTTGTTTGGACTCGTGAGGTTTGGGCACATTACCTTGAGTGAGACCTAACGTGTACACCTTTTGTTATGAAGATGTAATCTTACCCACAGATGGGTCTTGTTCTAAGCCCACTACACCCTCTTGTGTCGGGTTTTTTCTCCACCTCATCTTGGGAAAAGGGCTTACTTGAACCCAATTTCTGAACTTGTACTCTAGGGCTTTGCTTGGCAATGGGCTTTATCCGTCTTTTCGGGGCAATCGATCAATTAAGTCAAGAGAGCTGCTAGCTTCGGTCTCACGTAGTAGGCTCGCTTAAGCAAGGACCGAGCTGTCGAGTGACGTTTGGCCGGGTGGATTTTCATCATGTAGTTGGGTACAAATAGTAGAAGCTAGACTAAGCGTCGCAGTTGAGGTTCAATGTAATTGTCTTGACCATACAAGCGACAATTGGTTGCCGAAATTTATCAACCTGCAGCACATTTTTACAGAATCGATAAAAATTTTTAATTTTTTTTTTTTTTTGAAAAATCACACTGCCAATTAGTTGTTCATATTTTCTAACCACGACACTTTCAAATATATTAGAAAAATCACACGGACAATTGGGTGTCCATATTTATTTAACTACAATGCCTTATTACAATTTGGAAAGAATCTAAATTTATATGGACTATTTATATTATTTTGTAAGATAATGAATTTTGAAAAATCCCGACTACATAAAATCTTCTATAAATAATCCTGAATACATAAAATTTTCTACAATAAACTTCACTGATAATATTGTCTAATTACTTATGTGATTTTATTAATTATTATGAAATAGAATAAATTCTAAAAATTGAATAGACTGCATATATGACACAATATTTATTTTAGATTTTTTTTTTATATATTTTACATTTAATTACATCAATAAAAAATATTAATATACATTAAATATTTATTATTATATATATGTAAAAAAAAAAAAGAATATTACTAAGTGTAATGAATAATAATAATGGTACTATGTGACAATAAATTTTGGAATAAATAATATTTGAAGATTATGATTGTATCAAAAAATAAATATTTTAGAATAGTATTTATATTAATATAAATAGTTCAGCGGGCTATTATATTGTTAGTATAATTTTTTTTAAAAAAAGATGCTCATTAGTCTCAATAAATCATGATGGGGTAAAAAACTATAGGAAAAAAGTACCAAAAATCTATATATATTGAAAAAGAGAGGTCAATAAATTGTTTTGGGAAAGTTTTAAAAAATAATGAGTCAACCATGTTGACATACTAATTATAGCAATTTTATAAAAACCAATCAATTTGAAATTGTGATACCATATTAAAAATTCGTTCAGTTTGAATTTGTGATTCCATAATTTACGGGATGGTATATTTTGTGCAAATCAATCCATATTTATCATCAACAAAAAGTCCTAAAAAGGCGCCGGTATTAATGCCTTATCAAAATCAATTTAATACGTTATCAAAATCAATTCTTCTGTTAGCTGGTATTGAAACGCATTAAAATCTGTACAAAATCATATCTAAACTGCTTCTCCCATCTCTCCCAAAATCAGATCTGAACAAGTAAATAGAAATAATTCTCCCAAAACCCAATCTCCGAAAATCAGATCGAAACAAATCACATCCAAAATAATTCTCCCAAAATCAAACTCAAACCATTTCTCCAATTAAGAAGGATATAGGCACGGTGGATCTCCATCGTCTTCTCCATGCTCGATGTACGGCGATTGCAACAGCAGCCGGGATGAGCTCATCGAGGCACTGTGCCTATTCAGAAGGCGATGAAAGATGACTAAGGCTACGAGGGGGAAAGGCGAATGGTGTGTGAGCGAGAAATCCCCATTCAGAAGCAGAGGATCGACTCTCTCCTCACAGCTTCCAAAATTCGATTCGATTCGGCGAAGTTTGAAGCGCAAAAAACCATGCAGACTCAAGGTAATCTCTCTGCGTTTCTGTTTTTTTTTTTTTTCCTTTTTCTGATTCCATCTGGGCTTTTGTGCACCAAAATTTAGGGTTTTGGTTTTTTATCTGACTTGCCGTTTGATTTGGGTGTTTCTTTTTCAGTTTTTTATATGTTTTTTGTTGTAGAAGCTTCACTGTCTTTGCCCTGACTGATGTCGCGTTTTCGGATCTCAAATAAAACCTGTGTGGTTCTTTTCGCCGGGATGGGTCAGGTGAGTTTTGAATATATTATCGAGTTGTAATATGGACTGTGAGAGCTGAATTTTGGGTTGTTTGTTAGTTATTAGCACAATTTTATTTAATGAGTAAGGCATGAGCTCGGGATACTGGATTAAGAGAAATAACTTATTTTGGCGTTATGAGGTTGGGTTTTGTGTTTAATTATGTGAATTCGTTGATTCTTTCTGGTTTCACAAGACAAGATATACTATTAAAAAGTTCATTATGAGGTTTGGTTTTGCCTACATCTATTCCTTGAAAATGATATATCATTGCATTGTGTCTGATTTGGAAGGTTCGTGAACTGGAAAGGATTGTGCGAGTCCCACAGGGGTCTTGAAGCGCCATCCTTTCCCTGGGCCCGGCCTTGCAGTACGTGTTCCTGGTGATGTTACTTTGGGCAATCGTTTGGACATCCTGCGCAAGGTGCAATATATAAATATTTGTATCTTTCATATGAAATATGGGAGTCTGGCTGATCTTTTCTATTATTTTTGTTTATTTTTTTCATTTTATGGTTCAAAACCGGTGGATAGGATTTTCACTCAAGCAATCAAGGATGCTGGGTTTTGTGGCTCTATATGGCAAGCTTTTGTTGTATTCATGTCGGTACTCACTGTTGGTGTTTAAGACGACCAGAAAAGTCACAGTTATGCCATTACGCATTGAACTGTCACGAGTCAAGATGAAATGACTATAGATTGGTATGTTATATTTTTTGGATTTTTATAGTTTGAATTTTTTTTTTCTTCCTTTTTTTTTCTTATGGTCCCCTGGGGGTTTTAAAATTGGTTTCTTATCGACTCTTTATTTGCAAATGTCCTGGTATTACTTTGATCACATGTTTCTGGCCGACCTTTCCACAAAAAATTGCAATGAAGCCCCTGGAGTAAATCGAGTTCTTCTGGACATCACATCAAAACCTCCGTCAACTATTGAAAAAAATTACTTTTTTATTTTCCTTTTGCGCTTTTCTGGCAGAGAAATTGGCAAAGCTTAAACACAATCTCTCTGTCTCTCTCTGTCTCTGCCTGTGTGTGCTTCCTTTTTCTATGGTTTTTTGTAATGAGGTAGAGAAGCATCTATTATGTCAAAGAGTGTGTTGTGTGTGCTTTGTGTGGAAGAGTGCCTTAAAAATAATACTGTGTCTATGATAGAGCCTGTGAATGCTGTGTGTCACTGTGTGCGATAGAGTGTTGTGTGTTGTGTGAGTAAACACAATTAATGCGTCTTAAGGGTTAGAACAGAGAGTAGTATAGGCATTTATCTGTGAAAGAAAAGAGAGCAGAGTGATAGTAGAATAAAGAGTACTTTGTGTATCCCCTTCGTGAGTGTCTCGGGTATTCCTTTGTGCAAGGCCTTTGTTCTACGGAGACTTGGGTGCCGGTGGTTCTGATGGCCATGGCCCGGAGCTAGATTCTTTGTGATTTTTGTGGGTATAATTATACAGGGGCTTGAGCCTGTGTAATTAACATTTCACGTGTGGCTTCCGAATTCGTCTACATAAAAGGGTGTAGTCGTTCTTATTAATCTCTTTATTTATTTTTCAGTGATTTCAGTTTATTCATGTTATTTAAGTGCTGAAATTTGATTATTTATTGTTGATTTCCGTTTTCAGCTTGAAGCGGAGTCATCGGGATGTGTTCGGGACAAACCGGGTGCGATTGGTGATCGACCAGGTGCTGTCTGCGACCAACCAGGATTAGCCCGGGACTGACCAGGAGCTGTTCGGGCTCTACCGGGCTGCACGTTACCTCCGAAGATTAACGGCGCTTCAAGCGGGCCTTGGATAGGCGGATACCCCACAGAGTGGACTCTATCTCCAGTTAATAATGCTATCTACTGGTATTTATAATATGATTTGTAGATGGAGATGTAAAAATTTATTTGTAATGCATCAGACAAAAGTGGGCATATTTCAGTGGTTTTTCATATATAAAAATTTGCTGAAAAGTTCAACACATCAAATGTTGAACATGCATATGTTATACAATTTTTTTGTTTTTGTTTCCCTTTTCTTTTGTCCATTTGAAAATTGTTCTTAGCAGATTTTAATATAATATGTTCTCTGAATTTATTTTCTTAGGGTTACTTCAATCCATAGATCAAGCTGCAGGTCTTGATACGAGCAACACGTTACGAGGTCCCAGAAGTAAAGTCGCGGAGTTCGTTCTCCAATAGGAGAAGATAAGCTTACCCCGTATGCACTCAAGTTTATGTACTGTTACGGTTGTGTTAATTATTTTTACTACTAATATTAGCTAAACAGAAACTGGCATTTTTAAGCTTGAAGAGACTTTTGATTTCCAACTTCTTATGTGATTCATACATTTGGGCCAATATACAATGTGGAAGAGAACCCTCAAGCCTCTTTGAGAAATGCCTACAGGTACACGTAGACGAACTTTCTATGGCCCTTTTTGTTTATCCATTAAGTATAGTTATTGGTCCAAGCTCATCTTGCTTGGTTAGACATGATGCAGAAACGGTTTAAGCGTGGCAAAAGAACACAACATCCAGTACATTGCATTTACTGCTATCTCATGTAGGGGTGCATGGGTATGTTGTTGATTATCATTTACTGAAGTTTATGGTTGTTATTTCTTGCAGTAATTTATATTTATCTGTTTAAATAAATAGTAATCAGTAACTATCAACTCAAATGAAGTTTGTGTCTAATGCACAATATCTTTATTTAATGATCAACTACATCCTTTTGATTGTATTCTTTATACTCAACAGAAGCTTCCTTCTGTAATTAAACTATTGAAATCCTTTACTACGCCTTTTTCTTTAGCATTTTGCTATTGAGAAATTCATATATTTTGTACTATCGTGCAAACTTTCAATGTTAGCTATTTAACACAACCGACTTCTAATACATATATGTAATTCCTTGGATGACGTGCTTAGTCATATAAAGAAATATGGTATCTGGAAGTAGGAATACAAATACTACTTTACTTGGTGTTGATGTTTGAATGATGTTCATTTGCTATTTTAAATTAAATTATTATGTTTAGTTCATGGTATGTGGTTGCAGGTATCTTTATGATGAAGTTGCAGCTTACGCCTTATCTATAATCAAGGAATTTGCAGGGGGCTCTGAAGAGGTAACTTTTCTTTTAGACCACTTTTATCAGTTATATTTGAATCTAATTTTTTTGGAACCTTTGTATTTTTTTTTAAGAATATTTTATGGAATGTCTTCTGAGCGAAGGAATTTGAGAATGAAAGTAAGATTTGCTCTATCTTTCATGTTGGATACTTTTAACTGAAAATGCCATTCTTGTGAGTATTTTTTTAATGACTGAATTCCCGTTTAAGCTTAAATTAGAAAAAAAAAATATAACAATATCGATGTATACTGTGGAATTACATTTTTCTGGGGAGAAGGAATGCTATTTTGTGATCTCTTTTTCACAAATTGCCAGTCAACATTAATAATTACCGTCTAATATTGCATTTCAGGTGCATTTTGTTCTTATGTATGAGGAATTACTTGAATATCCCGGTGGCGGAGACTCCGCACACCAAAGCCTTTATTTTGAGAGGGGTTGTTCCACCGGTAGTTTCATTGTGCCTCATTTTTATGGAAAATTCCTAAATGCACCATGGATCTTTAAGGATAAGATGAAGATATTGTACGGGAGAAAAGATGTCAGCCCTACAAAAAAAGAAACCCATATTCTTCTAAATTCAAATCATCGATTGTAATGTTTCCATCGGAGAGTAGAAGGATAAGGCGAATATAGAGTTCGAGAAGAAAAACTTACCAATTTTGAATGTAAGATGGCAGTTAATTTTCAATCGTCCGAGAGGCGGTCAACAATTACAACTTCAAGATGCCACTGGTTTATCTCTATAGAATTTTTCAATTATATAATGACTTGCTTTGTGTACTTCTTATTCCATCTTAATTATGATTTTTTTTCTCTTATATAAATTATTGATTCATGTTCTCTATCACAGAAAAGAGATTTAACGTTCATGCCGACATTAATACTTGCATTTTAGAAAGTTTGCCGCATTTTAGTAATGTGGGTATGAATGTTAGTGTTTAGTCGGACCCTCTTAGAATTTGAGATGTCAGCCTCATAATTTTTTCATTTTGTGAAGGGATGAGAATGATACCAAGAGAGAAGAAATTTTTTTAATCAAGCGCATGGAGAAGGGCAGAACTAAAAAGGAAAATGAGAGGAAGCAACTGGATAGGTAAATTTAGAAGGAAAAGTTAAAAGTGTATGCAACTTTGGAATTTATTATTATATCATAAGTTATGATATTATTTTTAACATGCTATGTTTACTTACAACATCATTATTATATGTGTCCTAACTCATGTATCCAAAAATTTTGCAGGAGAAATAGCTCAAGCGGTTGCATGACAAGGTAGAAAATGAATAAACGCGACGCGTGAAAGAAGAAAATGAAATTCAGAAACAGCTGAAAAGACAACAAAAGGAGACTGAGAGAGACCAAAGAAAGGAAACTAAGTTATGAGTCAAGAAACCGTCTTGCTCTCCAAAAATAATCGCCAATGAAGAAGTCTTTCAGTCATTTGCACATTTGTACATATATGATATCGAAAACGAAATTTAAAAAAGAATGAATGCTGTGAGGTTTGTATTTAAAATTAAATATGACGAAAAACACATGTATCCAAATATTATTCATTATGCTTATAATAATTTTATTTTTTAGGCAAAGAGATGGTGACAACAACTTGGATTGAAACAAATCTTAGACGAAAACAACGAGCTGGTCAAGTCATTTCGCATGGCTAGCAAAAGGATGCAGAACCACGATCAGCCTAATGTCAGAATACGTCTAATAGGAAAAAGATACAATGATGCCAGACGCTATAATCTACCCGCAAGCTTTGAAGTTGCTACGTTGATTATCAGAGATTTCGACCAATGTTTGAGTGACAAAGGTATATTGGTTGAGACTAAGAGTGATCGTCTTCAACGGATAAATGAACTTAATGCTTCATATCCGGCATTACATTATCCATTATTGTTGCCTTATGGAGAAGATGGATATAGGGAAGACATACCGTTTTCTGATCTAATAATGTTGTATACAAGGAAGTTTTTAATAATGTATGACTTAGTACCAATGAAGAATTTATGCTTACTTTATGAATACCCTACGTATTGTAACTTATTGATTAATGACCTTTATTTTATTAAATTTTTCTAAAATATGTACAGCCCGTGCATCGCACGGGTTACGTACTAGTTTGAATGAAGTTCAGAAGCGCCCATATCACATCGTGATATATCAGGTTAATGCGACAGACCCAACCATCGCTTGAGGCAATTCATCACTACTACATTTGCACCAGCCGGGAATCGAACCCGGGTCTGTACCGTGGCAGGGTACTATTCTACCACTAGACCACTGGTGCTTGTTGTTGATTGATACATATTTTAATTTCAACAACACTACTCCGTCATATATTTGGAGCAAAATTTTTTTTATGCACTGAAAAACAAGAATGTCTTTTCCTCTCCCTCCTAGCCTCCTACCTCTCCCACCCAAACCGCCGCCGGCGCCGCCGTCCACTTCCGGACCGGTCCCGCGGTACCCACCTGAGTTTCCCGGCTGGAGAGTCCGGCTTTTTTCACCAAACTCGGCCGGCTAATCAAGGAGAAAGCCAAAAGCGACATGGAGAAGACATTTTCCGGGTTCTCAAAAACCAGGGACAAATTAGCCGTTATCTACAGGCTCATGCTCTACTGAAACAGACAGGGTTTTGGATGAGCTGGAAGAGGTTCAAGATTCTAGTTTTCCTTTGTGTTTTTGGTCAAGAAGATTACCTTCTTCTTTCATCATGTATAGTTATATGATTTTTGTTAACCTTTTATGATTTTATTTAGGACTTTATGGAACAACATATCGTGTTGCAGTTCAAATGTTTAGACGGTATGTGTTACTGTTGTCCAAGGACCTAAGCGCATTTTGTTTTTGTCATTAATTTTACCACAATTGTTTTGTTCTGGGAATGATGTTAGTATATGCATTTTGTTTTGTTCACGCGAATCTTGAAAACGAGCCAAATCTGAGTTACCGTGGATCATATTAGTACCCTTTTGCAGATAATTTTCTGTAAAGATGAACACTTATCATTTATTTTCCTGTGGAATGGTTATAACATATAACACCTATATCTCTATGGTGAATTGCGCTTTCATAAAACTTTTTATGCATTGATTGTAAGTTTTTCATTTTTGAAGATGTTGTTGGATAATGAACACCCCAANCCAAAATATATGACATGGAGTTCCATGCTTCCCATTTGAATTTGTAAATGTAATTGGTCTATTGGTTTTGGCATTTAAATGTGTCTTGGAATGTTTTCTTACGGTTTCACTTTTCACAAACTGAGCTATTTGCCAGCGTTTGGCCTTACAAGAACAAAGTTTTTGGTGTGTTCAAATGCCAACATATGCTTTCTTATTCTATATGATTTAGCAAGAACCAACAGAATAGGGGAATTATTATATTCTTCAACTTTCAAGTTCTATCTGTTGAAATTGCCAATTCCTGTCTTTTGACTACTTCTCAATTCTGCTATAAAATATTAAACTCTGCAACAATAAGTTTTTACAGAAGAGTTCTTTAATTGTTACACTTGCATGGAATATTTTCTACCTAAGATGCCCCTTTTTGTTCGGCAAAAATGTTCGAAACTTAGCATCATTTTCACTATTCTCATTTCATTTTGTTATGCTTTATTGCTTTTCAAACTCTCCTCTAGGTATTATTGGCAGCAGGGGACACATTTAGAGCAGCCGCAAGTGATCGGTTAGAGATATGGGCAGAAAGAACAGGTTGTGAGATTGTTGATAATCGCGTGGCCCACCAACAAAATTTATGTAGGTTAAGGATACTTTAGTATGAAGTTGAAGAAAAACTAAATCAAAAGGGAGATCGATAGTATGAGAAATCGTCACAAACATAAAGTAAGTATTTCTATATTGGAAGGAATGCTTTTGAATGAGTTTTTGTATGTTCATATTGTTGTTGTTTTACGAGGTATTTAAAGCCTCATTTATACACTGAGTAAAGTGAAAAATTAATGATGACAATATGCCACCTTAAAGGCTAGGTGGTTGACAAATGTTGCCATGCAAACATCCGACTTTTAATTGAACGCTCATTTTGGCTTTTGATGATGTTCCCAGTCACATTTTGCAGAAAGATCGTCAAAAGTTACTGACATATGGATCAACAGCTAAAGTAGCAATGGTGAAAGATTATTCAGCTTCTTTGTTCACTTCATGGACTCGAGGTATGAGCCTGAATAAGCTTGGGCTGGTCCATTTAAGTGAGTCACACTTCTCTTGATATGCTCTGATTTTTTGACGTATAACACAAGACATTCGTATATTTGTTATAGCATTGTTTCAGTTTCATGTGTATTTTGGGAGACGATTCTAAGTTCTTTCCTAAATCCTAGTACGAAGAATATCTTGTTATGTTCATAGATCAATTGAGTTTTTAGTGTCTTTTTTTTAAATCTAAAAACTAGGATTCTACGTTGGTCTCTTACTTTCTTCTTCTTCTTTTATTTATTTATTTTTAGTTAATGCTATTTTTTCCCATTACTTTATGTCAATCTGAGTACATATATCGCGTAAATTACAAATTCTTTTGTGAGGCAGTCTACAATCAGGCGAGTCGAACTGTCATATTATTTGAACAAAAATACATACTTATACTATTCAATGTCATATTTTTGTTTACATTTTTTTTAAATATGCATTTTTTAAAAAGAGTGTCGGTTTAATGGTTAAGTCAATCTAATAGAACAACAATTTGTATACATTATAGTTTATTATTGCCGTTTTGACTACAAATTAAATCATGGAGAGGTAAAAAAAAAAATTATAGAAAAAAAAAAAAGACCAAAAAATTTAAATCATGAAGAGGTAAAAAAGAAAAAAACAACTATCGAACCAGAAAGTAAAGGAGAAAAAAGACCGAAAAATTTATAAAGCTCAGAAGCGCCTATTTCAAATCTAGAAATGTCAGGATAATGCGACAGACCCAACTATCGCTTGAGGCGATCCTTTCAATTAACTGAGAAGTGAGAATCATCCATAATGTTCATAAGAATCATCCATACCGAGGCTTTTGTTAATGCCATCTTTCCATGAAACATAATCATCACCAACAAGTAACTCAGCAGCGCTTCATTTTTTTCCCCCTCAATATACGAAAATGTATGTCTTTTTGCAATTAATTCTCCCTCTTCTCATGAATGATTTCTTCTCCAACAATGTCTCTGAAGTTAGGTGTTTTCCAGGCGATATTTGCATAAAGAACCATATGCGGGTTTTGCGTGTAAAGCTCGAGGGCTCGGTTTTGAATGTCACTATAAAGAGGCTGACCTCGGCTTACCTTATTCAGCGCTCAATGGAGTCCATGCTCTTATGTATGCAAGGTTTATGGATTCTTATTTTTGGGGTGGAGGCTTGTGGTTAAATGAACTTTTGAACAGGCTAAAGGCAATATTTGGCAGGTATTTATTGATTTATTTCCTTGTGAGTTTGGGTGAAAAATGAGTGGCTACTCACTGTTAAATCCTGAAACTGGTCTCTGGCTATTAGGACTTGGTATCATTCTGTTTATTTGAAATTTGAGGTTCAAAATTTATTCTGTAAAACATGTACGATGTTTAGGACAGTATTAGGGAAAATTTCAATCTTACCATCATCGAGTTTTTTTTATCATTATATCAAAATTGATTAAGTGAGACAAGGAAAATCTGGATACCACTTAAGACTTTTTCTCGTGATTATAGGATTGGGTAAATCAGTCTCACTATTCTCAACCAGTGGTATCCTTCCTCGCACGCGAGCTACATGAACCACCCAACCCAGGTGGTTTATTCTCTGTTCTTTATAAAAAGTAAAAACCAATGAAATTCCATTCCATTCCAAATTTCCAACCAGACGCGAAAGGTATTAAAAAACATTTTTGCCAAAAATAATTAAATTATATCAAGTCCTACTANGCCAAAAAAAAAAAAAACATCAATTAGCTGGACCCGCGGACTTCTGTGCCCCGCCCCGGCAGAATTGGGTCGACCCGCTATCCATCCTCTCGATCACGAAGTGGGCCATCGTCGAACCCTTAGCCGACCTCACCAAATTCTCCCTGCAAAGAAACTCATCGCTGGCGACCCTATCCGCCTCCATATTATAGTCGTGCACGAACACGTGAGTCCTCGGGTTTCCCCCCGCCCTCTTGCTCCTCGCGAGCACCCCAGCCGTGAAAATTGCTGCCATCCTTCCAGGCGCGTCGGGCCAGTACCCCCTCGGCCCGTCCACAAGGATAACATCCCAATCGACCTCGTACATCTGGTTGGGCAGGTCGTTGAGCCCCAGACGGCACTCCGAGAAGAGCAAATTCTGCACGGGCCGGCACTCGTTGCGGGCCGCCTCCCGCGCGGACCGCACGAGCTCGGCGGCGTCGGCCAGCCGCGTCGCATACTGCACGTCGTAGGCCTCGACGTCCGGGTAGCGCTCCTCCACGTGGGCCGCGTAGTACCGGTTCTCGTCGACGAAGACGGTTCGGCCCGCATGGTTGAGGGCCCGCCAGAGGAGGGTCTCGTGGGTGAGGCCGAAGACGAGGAGGCTGCACGGGGAGGAGGGGCACTGGCGGATGGCGTCGGCCACCTGGCGGGCGTCCGTGTGGGGCATGCGGTCGGTGGAGGAGGTGTTGGGTGACGTGGCGTAGTGGAGGAGGGCGCGGGAGACAGCTGGCGGGAGGGATGACGAGGAGGACGACGGGTTGACAGAGATGGGAGGAATATTGGAGGAGTGATGGTCGCGGGTGGTGTAGAGGAGGGTGGCGAGGGAAATGAGGGTGGCGAGGGAGAAGAGGGCGAGAAGCCAGAAGCGGGTGGTGGGACTGCCTTGCTTTTGGATGTAAGGGTGCAGGAGGATGAGCTTGGTGCCGTTAGTCACGAGATTGTTCTTCATCTTTAATTTTGGTGGAAAATTATTTGATGGAATGAAAAAGGGAGGAATTGAAGATGGGTACGTATGGATGGAATTTGGAGGAGATTTTTAAAAGAAACTTTTGAGGATGGGGTGGAGCTAACATGATGAGGACGTGTCACCCAAAAATTATTAAGAAAATAAAAAAAGGAGATTTTGAGAAGACGCCTGACCTTGAGGTTGGGGTGTTTGTGTCCCGGAGCTAACATGATGAGGACGTGTGAGCTGTGATTATTGTTTTCCCTTTTAACATATTGATTATTTTTTTATATATGTGTTCGATTGTCAGTCCAATTCAAAACCAAGAATGGAGAAGGGATGTAAATGGGTCGAGTTGGGTGCGGGTTTTGGGAAACCCGTACTCAACCCGTCCGATTATCAACAGTCGGGTTCGGGTTGGGTTTTACCCGACGGGTAATCGGGTACCCAATGGATATTCGGTAACCTGCATTTACTCTGTCTGCCTTTTTTACCCAACCTGCACCTGAACATGAATAACTTATACATAAGTGTATTATTAATTTAACACTAAACATGAATATTTTTTCAAATAGAATTTCACTTTAAAAGTTCATTTGAGAAGTGTTTCCAGACAAGCTCATAGTAATTTGATCGAGAGTTGAGACTTTAGAAAGTGAAAATGCAAGAAGAAAGAAAAGCTATAATGAAAGAATATATAGTCGAATGTGCTTATCACTGGACCAGTGAGAACCATATATCAATGAAAACCATTGATTGTATATACTGAAACGTAGAATGTGAAGTTTAATCTTAATATGAGTGGGAAAAAATTAAGAGTTAGAAATGCATTTCATGAAAGTTTAAGTAGTCAAATAATAAGATACATCATTTCTGTCTAGGTTTGCTTCATCTTTCTTAAGTTCGTAAAGTATATTATTATAATCCAAGCATGATTTCACTCGCGAATTCTTAACAAGAAAATTTATTTGATGCACTACAATATGTACTAATTACATAGATAGCACTGTAAAGTATATCCTTGAAAATTCTCATATCCAACTAAACTTTGTTTTCCGTTGTCATGTGAGACCCCAATGAAAAGGAACCCAAAAGATCAGATCAGTCAAACAACGGGCAAGAAAAGCAATCATCACGTAGGAGAAACTCGTGAGACCATGTTATCCTATCCCCAACAAACACACACTTGTGCCAAAAACATAGTTTGACAAAAAATAGAAGAATTTCTGTGAATCAACATGAACGAGGTAGATCTTCAAAGATTAATTCATAGCTGCTGGAAAAAGATTAATTCAACATAGCTTGACATATTTTTTTTTTCTTTTTGGGATCAAAGAATAGCAAGAGTTTACAGATGCTATCGACCCTGCCAACCAGGGATTGATGAAATAATCGAATTTGAACTGCTCTCTAGCCTGCACAATGATAAATTGACGGTATCAGTTGGAATATGTGAAATTGTGCTCTGCCTTTTCTTCTGTTTTTTTTTCCCCTTATTTCTTTCTTATGAATAATTGCAAAGACCACCGTCATATTTAGCTGGCTAGGTGAAAAAAAAAAATAAAAAAATCTCTATTCTGGTTTGCAATTGCACATATCCATCTACGCATGTTTCTACATTATAAACTGGACCTATCTATGCATGGGGTAATAATACAAGCACTACCCACAGGGGTTTATTTATAGCTTTAGAAGATAACTCGATAGTTTTCTTCTTCAGATTTTCTTTTCAGCAATGAGACTAAACTCGAGGTAAGTCTTAGTAATCATCCAGTCTCCCATCTCTTTTCCTTTTATGTTTCTTATTTCATGTTTTTAATTTGAGAGAGAGAGAGAGAGAAACCTCGAGATTTCGTCAACAGCCTTCACGACTTCTGAAGAACTTGTCTCGAGCACTTGGCCGCCCAATATGATCTCATCTAGAATTGTATGCACCTGAGATTTAAACTGCAAATGAGCTCCAGGGATCACTAGCATACTTATCATTATCAAAGAATCTAAAAGCTTTAGCAAAGTAAATATAAAACTAATCAACCAAAAAGTGACATAGGTCATCAGCAATCAGAGCTTCACCATAAACAGAAGCCAGAGACATGCTACACTAAACAATGAACATATTGGGTAGTAGAATGAACCAAACTTAGCACGTTTTCACTTATGAAAGACATTATGACACTATAGCATAACTGCACAATTCAGACTCATTTCCTGGTGACTCCACTAAATTTCTTTCTTCACCAAACCATAGATGAGCTAAGCGGATAAAAAGCCCATTATGCATTGAGGCAAGCATGGCCGCCATGAACAACCAACTCAAAACTATTGAAATTTGCATTTCTTGTTGAAAGGCCAGCAGTTAACAGAGACTAATTAACTTACAGTTATTGGGAGCCTAAATAGAAGTATTTGATGCAAAATAGCTAAAACAGAATTTCTATGGTAATAACAAAGGAACAAAAACTAACCTTTTTAAAATTGAACACTATGTCCAGCTCACATACATTACTGAAACACTTGTCCAGTGTCTCCACGAAAACTGACACATAATCGATTTCAGAAGACAATCCCAGTGCAAAGCGAGTTCAGGCTAAGGAGTGAGTGACATTAGTGAATAGAAATCAAACAAATGCACACCTTGCATGAGATCTAGCATTGCAAGATCATTCTCGGCATTGTCAAATACGAAGACGAAGTACAAAGTCGCATAAGTTTTATAGACGAGCCGAACATCCTGCAAATGGTATGCCACAACATTTAAACAATCATAAATATTAAACCAGAAACCATCGTCACTTGCCCATAAATACTCAATTGGTAATTCATAAATCCATTACCGGTCCGAACAGTGAATCCACTTTAACAAAATTACTGACATTATCAGCTCTACTGCACAAAACTGCAAGCAAAGCACAACGAAATCAAGAGTAGAACACTCAGAACTTGATTGTTATTGTTGCATCACAAGATGCCGGAAAATTAAGGATAAAAGTTCCTAAAGAAAATAAAGATCAGAAACCTACTTCTGTAGATACTTCGAACTAGCTCCTGCTGCTTCTCAACAGGCTAATTATGTAACACAATTATGAACAAATCAATCCAGATAGAAAAATCAGTTTAACATGAGATTCAAAAACTACAAGTGAAAAACAGGAGAAAAGAACAAATCTAACGACCTGAACTGTGGTAGAATTACTCTGCGGAATTTCATTTTATTCATTTACAAAAAAAAACCTGAAACTGATAGAATTTGATGAGGCGAGGTTTTCCTTGATCATTCATTATTATCACTCCTCGCATCATAGTCGTCGTGGATTTGTATCCAATTCCGGTTAGGTTTTATACGTGGCTGTGAAAGTCGATCTCGAAGGAGAACGTCGCTCTTTGAAGCACGCTGCAACCACTTCAAAGCCTCTAAACTGAAAATAAAACCTCTGAAACTAAGGCATATTAACGGTATAAAAATCACACAAGTAGGCTACAGCAAGGTCACCACAGCAATGAGGCTAAAACTACACATATGCTTCAAAATCTTCTTTTCTTTTTCTCATATTCATAGCAACATTTATAAAGGCCCTAAATACTGAGCAAACTCTGAAATTTACACCTACTTTCAGCATGATAATCACTCATGAACATGCTCAGCAAATAAGGTAATACTCGGCCAAAATAAATTACAAAGCACCTCCTTAACTTTCTTCATTTTTAATGAAGTTTAAACATGCCTTTATTTCGCCTCTTTCTTTTCTCGAACCAATACCACCTTTTTAGGCCGAGCAAACCGAGATATAAATACTCCAATAACACTTCACTTTCAGCATAAATCTCATTATCACCTCAGCCTACATAACACATAACGAATCGGCCAAATAAGCACCACATCCCTTCTAAATTCTACTCCAATTTCATCTAAGTTAAGCATGCTCATTTCCTCTTTTAAAAACTGAAATAAAGCTCATAAATACACATATAAACAGTACATAAAATACACAAAGGTTCAGCAAAAATAAAAGCAACCACCAAGAACAAAACACAACACAACCATACCTTCCTTTTCTTCATTCTTTTTCTCAATCACATACCACATCCTAAGACCGAACTAAGCTGAGATAAAAGCTTTAAATACACCTAATTTTCAGCATGATATTCATATCAAAACTTCAGCAAAAAGAGCAATAAAACTCGGCCAAAAAGCACATGAACGAAACTCAATTCTTCTTCATTTTTCACTAAGTCAAGCACGCCTTTTCTTCTCTTAAAACAGGGATCTAAAATTCACGAATTAACAAGTGGGTATTTACGAACAGGCAACAAAGCGGACCTCGGCCACTTGCGTACAGACCACGAACGGACTCGTTGGTATTCGGGGCGGACGTCGTCTCGGCACGGTGCGCGGCCACGGTTAGTGGCGGCTGAACAGATGTGAACTGGGCGGACGTCGGCGGGTCGCTCACGCGAACAGAGGTTGGTTGGTCCCGTCTTCTTGATCTGAACTCCCGGGGCCGTCGCTGTTGAAGGCTCGAGATACGCGACCTCGACGGCAGATCTCGATCATGTCCTGCGCCGACGATCGGTTGGGCTTGGTGTTCGCGTTGGTTGCTCTGAACGCCGGAAAAATGGCTGTCGACGGCTACTCTAGCTGAGGCCCGCGGATCTGGTACTCCGGGGTCGTCTTTGAAGCCGTTCGGTCACAAGGAGATCTCCCGGTGGAACTGGAGACCCGTCGCTCGCGGTGATGATGGGAAGTGCTCGGATATTGCAGACGTCGGCGACTTGTTTGCGGAGGCCGCGGTCGTGCGATGGGGAGGCACCGCTCCTCTCAGGTCCCGGCTGCGTGGGTGTGGCAGGCGACGCCGGCAATAGGGCTGTAGCTGATTTCCGACAAGAGGAGGGCGATTTTTCCGAGGCGTGAAGGAAGTTTTCTTCCGGATGCTCAAGGGCTAAAACCCGATCTGAGAAAGTCTGAAAACCGAAGGAGAGAGGTGGGCTTTTTCTGCGCGAGAGGATGATGGCGAGGGTGAGAAGAGTTTTCCTAATCTGCTTTGTGAGAGAGACAAGGGAATGGGAAATATGGAGTTGAGGCATTAACAATGGGATATCAATTTGGGTCAAACATTATTTGAGGCTTAAATGACGTAAAAGGGTGATTGAATTTCAAATAATAATAAAAAATATCTTGGAGCTAAATCAATTTATTTGGGGCGGGTTCAAGAAGCTACAAGTAGGACTGACATTTTTGGACCGAAAATCGAAACCGAATCGAATCGTACCTAACTGACGAGAAAAAAAACCGAACCTAACCGACTTACTTAAAACGGTAACCGATTATCGGTTACCGATATGTTATCGGTAGGGTATCGGTTCCAAAACCATAGAGGTTCGATTTTACCGAACCGAACCGATAAGGAATTTAAAAATTAATAATAATACTTAATATTAATATTTAATAACTAAATACTAATATTAATAACTTAATACTAATAATTAATAACTTAATATTAATAACTAATAAGTAATATTGCTTGTGAATGCATAATAAAGCAAGCAGCTTTTGGATATAATTACTAAGCAATATATAGGACTGAAAACCATCATAAGCAATAATTAGGAAATTCAACAGTTGCCGACATTTATTCTGGATATTGGAAGCCCTGTTCGCGGATAAATTTCCCTCAACAAAAGTCGTAGTATGCTCGACCATTTTGCGCATCTATTAATTAATTTTATGGTTTGTATATTTCTATTAATCACTGTATAAGTACAATAATCAAAATTTGATGAGTATAATTTCATGCATACTCATCTCACCTTATTAAAGAAAAAAAAAAAAATCGGCCCTCTTATTTATTATTAGTAAATTTTGGTTTTTTCGGTAGGAAACCGTTACCGAACCGAGTTATCGGTAACCGAAAATTCGGTTACCGATTACAAACGGTTTTATATTTGTAGTTACCGAAATAATCGGTTCGGTATCGGTTTAGCCTTATCTGTTCGGTAACCGAACCGATACCAGCCCTAGCTACATGGGGCCGGATTTTGGTTCATTTGGACCGAAATCAACAAGAACAACTTGGCCCAAACATAAAATTCCAAGGCTCGGATTAAATGTTTCAAAAACGGGTCGAAACGGATCGAAAACGGTTCTACACGATTGAATCAAAATTTATCGAACAACTTAACTACTAAATAAAATTAATCTAAACCAAGTCATCCACATAAAATAAAAATAAAATCAATCACAATATATTACACGAGCAATGAAATTAAATAATACAAGGCAATTACACAAAAACGAGCAAGCAATTATAAATCAAGCTATGCACATAATAATTAAGTTCAAGCATTGCACATAAAATATAATAAGAGCAGCACGAAAATAAACCAAATGCAAGCATCTGAAGAGAGATACGGCATAACAATTACTAATATAAAATGCAGATTTATTTTTAATAACAAACCAATCTTTATCCTTAATAACAAATCATGTGTTCTCCTAATTAAAAATCAATTACGAAAATCTCATTGATATAACTACTACAATCCTATAATAAAATTGATATCTTAATATTAATAACAAATCTCTACGATCTTTTATTCATTTTGTAACGAGTTCATTTTGTAACGAGTCATATACCAAAAATCTTCTATTCAAAGAGTTAAAAAATGTAATTTGATTTTACCAATAACTGCATCAAACTAATTTTTTAATAATTCATATTCTGATTCACAATACTAATCAATATTGATTCATTGCTTTAATACATTCAGTTATAATTATTGCCCCTTGCGGCTACGTACTAGTAGTTTATTGTAGCTAACTGTAGAAGAAAATTAGAAAAAATAAATCATGGATTTAATATGAATAGTATGAACATTAAATAAAATCTAAGTCTAATTATTTTTGTATAAAAAATTTTAATATATATCCATCTGACTCGGTATGATATTTTGTCAAATAAGTTTACTAAGCTTGAGAGTTTGTCATTTAGACTCTAATGCATTCAATAATTATATACAGGTTGATTAGATTTGATGCACGTTTTTGGAGCGTTTTCTTTCACCAATTATTGCCAGCCAGCTAGGCTGGGTCCCACCAACCTTAAAAAACAGATAAAAAACATAAAATTTTATGCACCATTTGGACAAGAAAGAGATCGGCGAGAGAATAAAAGAGAGCTTTTCAAGACTCCATTTTTTGTCTCTTCTTTTACTGAAATTCTCAGCTTTGAATCGGAGCATGGCAGAGGGCACCCTTGAAGTTGTTCTTGTCGGCGCCAAAGGCCTCGAGAGCACCGATTTCTTATGTAACTTTTCCCTTTTCCCATCTCATCATAGTTTTTTTTTTCGGTGACATAATCAAGAAATCATTTTGTTTCCCTTTTAGTTTTCTTGCTGTTTTTTGGTTTATGTGGATCAAAATTGGCTGTTTTCTTACATATATGATGTTTGTTGATTCTATTTTTTTTTTGTGTGTATAGGATAGGATGTGTGAAGCATTTTACCATTTTGATTTTGATTTTGCTTTTGTGTATTTTGCTGTTGGTTTATGGGTTGACTTTGAATGTGATGATGAATAATGAATGATGGAGGATTGATGGATCCGTTAAAATGAAAAAAGAATCAGAACTCGAAAAATGTAATAAAATTTGTTTCCGTTTACTGTGAAGATCATGGATCGACTAAACCATTACAGGATCTAAGAATACGATGTTCCATTCGTGTGGATTGGACAGTTCACAGATGAATTTGTGCAATAATTCTTCCAAAGGCGCATTTCGGCTGCCCAACGATCAGACAATTTGTACTTTTTTAAAAGAAACAAATATGCATATTTTCGTACAAAAGTGGCATACTTTAAAAATCAACATAAACAAAAGTATGACATTTCACTTTGTAAGTATGCATTTTGTTCGAATAAATATGATGGGTCGATCTGCCTAATTATTAAGTCTGCTTCGTACTAGAATTTGTGGACACAAAGATGTTCGTTCATCTAACATGTATTTGTACATTATGTATGTTTTAATGTTGTTCTGTATGTAACATGAATCTTATTAACCGAACTTTTTTCACTTTCGTCATGCTCAGCTGGCGGTGATCCTTATGCCATTCTCTCATGCCGAACACAGGAGAAGAAAAGCAGTGTTGCATCAGGTGCATTTTTCATTCAGCTCATTTATTTCTCATGTATCTAAATGTTTAATTAATTCATTTATTAAAAAGGATACCCTGATATTGATCTACTCATACAATACAGCTATATTTTAACATTAAAAGACACCTGTTTTTTGTTTGTTTTCGAGTTTTACACCAAGGTATGCAGGGACTCTTGCAATACATTAAAGGGATATAATATAATAACAATTTTGAAAAAGAGGTTTGAGTTTTTATTAGATAATAAATATCAAGAGCTGTTTTTCTAGTTGCAAATCTTCCATATATCTGAATTAGACTCAATGCTTAGGCGTTTTTGTGCTGCGGCAATTTTTGTTTCTTTTTATTATTATTATTATTTTTTCAGATTCTTGGGTTGTAATTTTGTACTTTGAAACCTTGATTACCTTTAGCAGGTCAGGGAGCTTGTCCCGAGTGGAATGAGACTTTTTTGTTCTCCATATCTGGCAGTGTTGATGAACTGAAAATCAAATTGATGGACAAAGACACTTTCACAGCAGACGACATTGTAGGAGAAGCAACGTGAGTAACCTAAGTCTCGTTTTTCTACTATCGATTTTTTTTCTTTTTTTTGAAATAGTTATATGTTTGCTCCTTAAAACTTTGTTACACGGGTTCTTGAACCATTTCAGAATCCCGCTGGAAACTGTTTTTGCTGAAGGAAGTGTTCCAACAATGGCTTACAATGTTGTAAAGGATGAGAATTACTGTGGAGAGGTTAGAGTTGGCCTCAAGTTCACTCACCAGGTTAAAAAAAAACATCCTTTCCCTTCTACATTACTACTTAACTTTCTGCATTATTTCTTGGTTTAAAAAAAATATCCTTTAATGTAACCTTAGCTTAAAGAAAAGGAAGGTAAAGGAAAGTCAAGTCATCTCTCAAATGTCTAAAGTTTCTTTATTTTTTCCATTTTCATTTTTTCGTTTGCCTGCGAGAGAAGCAAAATGATGGGAAAACAACAGANAAAAAAAAAAAACAAAACAAAAAAACAAAAAACTCTAGGTTACTATTTGTAGAGTTGATGAGGTGGCGAACTGTACTGATTTTCGAATATAACGCTTTTTAAGCTTGTACATTATGCAAGTACAGTTGTGGGCTCATTTTTTTCTGAGACGTTGAATTGATGTTTGTCATTGCAGAGGAGCAGGGGATTTAGTGTTGAAGATGAGAACATTGGAGGATGGAGACAATCTTCTTTGGAGTAATTGGAGTTAGTTTTACATTTTCTAAGGTTCTTTTCATGGCCAATAAAATGTGCTTGTTGTGACTACATTTCGTTGCAACTGCCGTCTTCTTTTAATGATTTTGTCATAACCTTTGTATTTCAGTTTTCTTGTTTTGTACCTTTCGACTTTCAGACTTGGTTCGTCCGGTTTGGACATTTTTCATGTTCTTGGATTTTAAACTGAGATTTCTATTTGCTTAAAATTGTCAGTATTGTTTGGTTTTCATTTAACTGCAGGATGAACTTGATTGACAGCTTGTCATAAACAAAGTAGCAAAAACAGTTCATATGATTACACATGGGAAAATCTTAATCTTATCACAGGCCATAAGCAAGTTGTAGTTTATAGACACATGTAAAAATTCTTTTATCACTCTTGCTGCACAATAGGCTAAGGTTAGACCAAATTAAGATGGCATTACCCAGCTCATATTTTCATAAACAAAACAATATTAGTTTGGATTTTTTAGGTAGAATAAGTTCGGATTCATTATGATCATGTAGTAGAAAAATTTTAATCAATTTATTGGAAATAGGCTATAAATTTTCCTGTAGGGATATTTTTTATTTTTCTTTAGTTTTTCACTTTATGTATGTTTGGATAGTGCCATTACAATTTTTTTTTTTTTTTNATATCATAAGACCATAGATTAGTACAAAATATTTTGATAATTTTTGGAAGATTCCTCTTACTAACTGTTTATATTGGCAGACATATTTAGTAAATTATATATCATGTGGGAAAATTCGACTCTATCGGATTCTTGGATCACATATTCTCACACATACTCACATGTTTGTTTATTGATCCAATAATTAAAAATCAAATACTTATTTATTAAAAGTCCTATAGTTTAAAGTCTAATCAAATTGAAGTAGTGTTGTTCTTCCTATTTTTTCACATCCTTTGAAACTAAGCAGAAACAATGAGCGCTTATAAGCTTCAAGCAATCTTTGAGAGATTACATAAAATAGTTTATAGGTTATCTAGTTAGTTTTAAAGGTATTAAAATAAATTTTAAAAGTATATTCATTGTAAGACATGTGTCAATATATCATTTGTAAATAATAATAGATGATTCTATAAATTGTGTCTTTCGATGGTAATTTCATCCAACCTATCAGTGAATATTATCAAACACAATTATTGTATTACTTAGTTTTACACCTATCAATTGCCATCTGATAATATCAAACACCAATATTGTATTTTTTAGCTTTTACGCGATCACTCAATAGATATCACACATCTACTCAAAGTTGATATATAAACCATTATTTATATTATCAACTATCATCTACTCGCGCAACTGTCGGCATCCAGCCTCGGGCAGAGCTGATGGTGTCCGTCTTGCCTTCCGCTCGTCAGATCTGGGTTCGGCTGGATCCCCATTTGGTGAAGGCGTCGACTCCTCCGACGAGGCTTTCCGGATCAACTCCCAAAGCATTCGTTTACTTCCCGATTGAAGACTGCGGGAGCTCATATCTGGGCATAAACTTGTCTCCTCGCCAGATATGACTAGTCACTTGAGTAAGTTGAATTTTTTAGTTCTAGGACTTTGATTTGTAGTTCTCTTTTGTTGTTGATTGTGGAGTTGGCTCGTTGCGGGATTTGACTCGTACGCTGGTCAGTGTGGTTATAGTGGTGTGCCCGCGAGATGTAGGGGAAGTAGTATTATATTGTTAGTTTAGGTGTGTGTTGTGTTGTTTTGTTGTGTGTTCGGGGTCTGTGGGTGTGTTATTCTCCTTGTTGGAGTTTGTTATTCTCCTATGTTGGAGTTTTCATTCTCCGGGAGTTCTATTTTTGGGTCTTAGTTTGGTTTGTGGCTCTAGAATGCCTGGGAGCAGTAGTACTCCGTCGGAGTAGTCCTCCGCTAGTTTCAGTTTAGTAACTAATTAATTCAATTGTTTGGTTGTAGTAGTCTGTAAATATTTGTGTTTACTACTCCCTCCATTTTGAAATATAAGGCATTTAAGGTTATTGCACAAATATTAAGGAAACATTAATTAATGAATAAATTGACTAAATTAACCTTATTTACTCTAATCACAACCACTCCACACTTCCTTAATTTCAACACAATGAGGGTATATTTGGAAAAAAATGCAAAAATTTGTCTTGATTTCTATCGTTTCAAAGAAAAAAAAAAAAAAACTATCATCTACTCTTCTACTAAAATAAGTATACTCCTATTATCAACGTCCTTCTACATGTTTGCTATATTTTTTGAAATCAGTATAAACCACTTGTATGTAAAATTTAAAAGCCATTTACAAAAGTAAATCACAAATCAATTATTCATAAATAATAAATAAATATATTAATTATTATAAATATGCAATTAAATAGAGATTTGTTGGTAGAGGGCGTAATTTTCTCAATTATCAAATACTATTACTTGGTCCAAAACCCCATGAAGAGAATTCTGACGAATAAAGCCCCCTACCTACTACCTATACTTATAGTATTATACTTAGTATCACGTTGGGCCCGACCCAAGTCGTACCAACTGGGCTATATCTATTTACGGCCCATTTTTCTGTTCTTATTTTTGTTGGATAAATTTCTCAATTCTCCAGCTGGTCGTTAGTTCTTGAAGAAACAGAAAAATATCCAGAAAATTTGGATCGAACTGATCGCTTAGCTGGGGTGTTACAATTCAGGTGAAATTTGAAAGTGTGGATTGTTGTTGTCCTTTTCATTTTCCATTTTTGTTTTCGCTAACGTTGTCTTGCTTGTTCTCTGAATAAGTCATGAATAAATGCTCAAGAATGGAGGTCTTTTGGCTGAGAAGTTTGACTCTTTAAGTGATTGAGATTCAATCTTTAATTTTTCAATTCGAACAATGTTTTTTTTTTTTTTTTTNAAAAAAGATGCGGTGGCTCTATTACATGTTGTCCTGTGTGTCTGGATTTTGTTTATTCAGATTGTAATTCTTGTGTTGGGCTGTGCAAATCATGGGGATGACTCTGATAAAGGAACAATGATATCTTATTTCACTATTAAGTACTAATTCACTTTTTATTGAAGAACAAAATGATCAAATTTTTATGGGTTTGACAAAAATCATGCTTTTTGCCTGACTATGATTATCATTTAGGGTAGTACCTTTTAGTCTTTTTTTTTTTCTCTACTTTCTCCTAACCTATATTTACACTTTCATTATGAATTCTGCATGGTATTGGGTTTTCAGCTTGCAAAAATGCTGATGGGTCATGCTGCAGCCCTGCCGAAGCTTGGGTCGGCCCAAAACTTGCCACTCTCTGATCCCGTTTCCGAACAAGATGTCGATGAAAATATTGACAATCCTTCGAGAGTTTTATATACAGCTTCATTTGAGGAGCTTGCATCCAAAAACGTTCAGTACGACACAATTATATGGCTCTCGATATCTATCCTGCTGGTTTTAGCATGGGGTGTTGGGATCATTTTTCTGCTTTATTTACCCTATAGAAGATATGTTCTTCAGAAAGATATCGCATCACGTAAACTCTATGCCACGACAGAAGAATTAGTGTACAAGGTTTTTTTTTTTTGCATGATTTAGCACTTTGGGACACCAAGATCCTTAAATTGAACCTCGTTTTCATTTTCGTTCTTTGTTTGTTCAGGTCTCGAGGCCTTCATTCGTACCATTCTTGGGTGAAAAGAAAATCGAGAAGCGTATACCTCTTTCCCTGATAATTGGTGTTGTAATAGAACAAGGTACGAAAACAAAAGCTTAGCGTGTGTTCGATTTCTTCTCTGTGAGATTGAGAAGCTGTGGTGGCTTGTAAATTGTAATGCCCTTTAGCATTCATAGTTCAACAGATGAATAATGTTTGAACTCTGATTTTTACGTTTCTCTTCTTTGCGGGAAAGACAAATTAGTCTGCGGATGAAAATGAAATAATCTTGCTCGTACAACATCTGAATCCACTTTGTACGGAATTTTAGATTAGTTATGTGATTAGTCATGCTCGTTTTGCAGTTTTGTGTGCGTGTATGAAAAAAAATGATTTTTTGAATATGCAGGTTGCTTACAGTCGGTGTACGGATTACGTACCTTCAAAGTCGTAAGCATTGCACAAGGTAAAGCAGCTCCTATTGACGAATTGCAGGTTCAAGGGGTTAGTAACCCCGGATTTCTTAGGAAGGTAAAATTTCTATCTAACCTGAAACCTGCCTTTTGTTTGGGATAATGAAAAGGAATCATTTATATTGGAAAAATATGTGATCTTATTGAAGGTTTAGTTTTAAAGAGAGAGTTACGATTACTATCCTTTTTAGCCTAACCACACACACACACAAAAAGCTACCTTCCGAATGTCATGGATACACCTCAAAAATGTCTCTTTTTACACACTATATTTTAAGGGGACGATTCGTGGATTTGATAACATAATTTTTTTTTTTTTTTAATAAAGAATTCATAAACATGCAGGTATTAATAACACATGCTTCAAAGGCTATACAAGATGCTGTGGGAAGCTGGAGTCATACTAATCAAGTTACTGAAAGCGAAAGCATGTCCCGTATGGAATCTTTAACTTTGGGTCCCGCAGTTTTGAGGTCACCAACACCATCTAAAAGCTGGAAGGTACATAATTAAAACCATATTATTCAACCAAACATCATTTAAGGGGCTAGTCAAGAACTGAGACATGAAAAATGGATAATGTTTTAGCTCCACGCGTTTTGGAACTCCCAAATTAATAGCCACTATTTGTCCTATTTCCCTTTGTTTATCCTTGAGAGTTGAGACATCCAGTCAATTAACTCCCAAAGTTGTAAATAATTCCGTCGTTATTTATTTCTGGATTACACCGTGTTTTATCTTCTCAACGCATTCACTTCTTTATTTATTTTATTCTGTTTATCTTGCAGACAGTATTATCTCCCCATCATGCTTTGAAGGAAGGCAAAGGTACAATTCCTACAGATCTTATGCTTCGCAAGCTTGAAGAAGTTAACAAGTCGGTGAAGGTGAGAGATCCTTTTTGGTCTATAACCTTCCGAAAAGTGGATATATAGAGATTCATTGACCATATTTTTGCTTTGATTTCTAACAGAAAATCAAGTTTCTTGTCGAGAAAAAACAGGCTACCACCAGACCAAGTATGGAGAATGTATGAAAAGGCGTTGTGTTTTTCATGCACGACCCTTAAATCTCGTCCTAAAATTGTAGAAAACAAAAAAAAAAAAAAAAAANGAAAAAAAAAAAAAAAAAAAAAAATGGAAAATGCACGATGTTTGTAAATAAATGAAATTTGTGGAATTTCTGTGTGCAAACTCAACTAAAAAATGCATTACTGTATAGAGTCCCTGAGAATTCGTTTGCATTTGTTGAGTATACCTGTAGAGTTGGAAAAGTAATGAGTTATCTGTGCAGTGGCTTATCCCAATGTCATTGAAATAATTAAGAAACTCATTTAGAATGGCAAACAAAAATGGCTAATTTTTTTTTTAATCATTAAAGAATCATGTAATTTTCATGATATTTGATATGGAATATGCCTTATTAGAGTGATTTTTATGTTACAAAATAAATTTCTTGTACTATAGTATGGCACCCACACTGGTAATATCAAGCATTTAAATGCTTCATCAATCACTCAAACCATTATTGGGCCAGCCATTTGTATGAAAATTGTCTAACTAGCGATAAGTAAGACATGTTATAAGAAAACAGAATGCCATTGGATCACAAAAAAAATAATGTAAAGTATGTTATATTACAAACTTTTGTATGACCGGCTTAATCATTAGGTTGACCGACCCGTTATAAATAAAAATATAAACTTGTATTATTAAATGTTATGCTTTTTTTATATTTGTTTTAATTTAAATCATCAGGTGGATTGCGTGTAAAGAAATCTATACTTATATTATTAAATGTTATGTCTTTGTTTATATTTTGTTTTGAAGTACGATAATTTTTCTTAGTGAAAGCATGCATATGTATGTATAAAACTCATCTTCCTAATAATTAGATCAACCTAATAAAAGAATTAATGTATGTACCAAACAAACACAAAACATAAAATTTGTATGAAATCATTGACTAATATGCTCAAAGATGAGCTAGAGTCTAGGGCTGGAAATGAATCGAGTCGGAACTTGAGTTTAACTGAGCATGAGTCGAACTCGTGCACCTCAAATTCGAATTCAAGCTGAACTAGAGCATGTATGTCATAAACACGGATGCTTGACAAATACTATATACCCTCAGCACGAGCTAAATTCAAGCTAAAACTTGAGCCAAATTTGACCAAAATTCTTATTTGGATAGAAAATATTTTATTAAAAAATTGAGCCGAACTCGATCGAAATTTGAATTGATGTATTTAGGGACGATCTCAAATTTGTATATTATTATCGAGCCAAGCCGAGTCTTAACTAGTCAAGAGCTCGAACATAAGTAAAAAGAAGAAAAAAAAAGTTGATTTTAACTCGATAAGGCCAATGTTCGGCTCGTTTACAATCGTTGAGGCCCAAAACCGGAATAAGCGCCACTTTATCCATCCCATGGAAGTTAACTAATGACCAAACGTGAACGCGAAGCTCCAAACAACGATTTCATAAAGGAACGGCGGAGCCGTTAAAATTACAGCACTATAACTCTTCAGCCATCACGCCGGAGAAGATGATCAAGAAGCGAATCCTGATAGTCGGCGGCACCGGCTACTTGGGCCAACACCTCCTACGATCTTTCTCCGATAACTCAGATGCAGATTTTCCCGTAGCCCTCGCGTTCACGCACCGCTCGAATCCTCCTCCTCAGGCGCTGCTCGATGCTGTTCCTCAAGCTCTCCCGTTCCACGTCGATCTGAGCACCGGCAGCGGCCTCGGCTCGATTTCCGATGATTTTGGCCAGGTATGAGCTCCCTCATTCTGGTCCGCGAGGTTATGGCTTCTCAATAGCTCAATGCTTTTTCTTTCTTTGAGTTGTTTCATCAGGATGATGGTTTATCGTGGAGTATGTACCTTTGTGCTACTTTATGTTTGTCTTGTGCTGTCAAATCTAGTGCTATTTTCCTTTGATTGATCTTTTCATTGTGGTTTATCTGTGGACTATGCATTTAGGTGGTTTATTAAGGTTTTGTGGGTGAAATTTTTGGAATTTGGTATATGAAGTTGTTTTGTTAAAAGGGCTTGGTTTTGTGGACCGTATTTTTATTTCAGCCAGACGTGGTGATCAATTGTGCTGCTCTTTCTGTGCCCCGAGCGTGTGAGATGGATCCGGAAGCTGCCATGTCTGTGAATGTCCCTACAGCTCTTGTGAAATGGTTGTCGAGCTTTGGAGAGAGTACTCTTCTGATACATTTGTCGACTGATCAAGGTTGGTTTCAGTTTTTAAATTTTGTGCTTTTTTTTTTCTTCCAAAATGTAGATAAATTGTTGAGGAATTACTATGCCAGTGCTTGGAAGTTCTTCTGCACATTTCTTGTTTTTCTTGATTTCTTATAATGCATTTTTCCACACTATGAACTTTGAATTACTAACCTGAAGCAACTAATGGATATATTTAACCTGAAGCAACTAACCGAGCTAGTCTCTTCGATTCCACACCTTTGCCTCAGAAACACCAAAGGAATGAGCAGAATATTTATTTAAAAAAAAAAAANTTTAAAAAAAAAAAAAAACAGATACGAATGTGATGTTTCAATTCTTTCTGTATCTTGAAATTAAATTAGATTTTCTGCAGTTTATGAAGGGACAAAATCCTTTTACAAGGAAGAGGATGAGACTGTCCCGGTGAATGTTTACGGAAAATCTAAAGTCGAGGCAGAACATTATATATCTGAGAACTGCCGGAACTTTGCAATTTTGAGAAGCAGTATAATCTATGGACCTCAAACTATATCTCCTGTTCCTAAATCTCTTCCAATCCAGGTGTGTGAATGAAGAAGTGCTGAATCTTATCCTTAAATCAATTGAGTTTTTGTATGCTAAAAGCTTTTCAGTAAAAATCCTTTGTATACAGAGGTAAAAGAATAGTTCAGTCCATCATTTTTGTCAAACAAATCACAAATGTTAGTGGAAATATCTGTGGTTCAGTGGATGGACAGTGTCCTTGCTAAGGGAGAGGCATTGGATTTCTTTCATGACGAGTTTCGATGTCCTATTTTCGTGAAAGATCTCGTTTCTGCAGTACAGACATTGACTAAACAATGGATCTCAGGTTAGAGCCTAGAGGCTTCTGCATTTTAGTAGTAGATAATAAGTTTTAGTCAAGTTAGCTTGAGGAATTTGTTTAGTGCTTCTACAGATTTTAAATGTGTTAAGGGTCATGCCAAAGGTTTCACTCAAAACTAATTTAATTTATGACCCTTTCTTGAAGTGCTTTCTCTTATCACTTGTCCGTGGACATAATGATTATAATTCTTCATGATTTTTGTAGAGGCTAAGCAAATGCGGTTAGTCCTAAATGCTGGCGGCCCAGATAGGGTATCACGGGTTCAAATGGCTGAGGCAGTTGCACGTGTCAGAGGCTACAGTACCTCACTAATCAGACCAGTGTCTGCCTCCTCAGTATGTTTATAAAAAGAATTCTGCCTATATATTGGTTAAGCATTAGGCATCATCTATATAAAACCAAAGAGAAAGAGGGAAAACTAAATCTTCTTGATGAAAAAATTTAAAAACCTTTGAAATCTAGTCTAAATTACAGAGAAGGAAAAAACATACAGAGTGATCTTTCGACCTCACAAACTTGAATTGTGTTTTGGGGTTATTTTGCATAAAACAATTTGAAACCACATAAGATGTGTTTTGAACTTTTAAATGATAATTGGATTATTGTGTAACTAAACTAAAGTTCCATGGTTTTAACAAGGCATTTTCGTGTGGATTCATTAATTCTCCTCTCTCGCTCTCTCTCAACTCGATTCTTCCGATTATTAGGTTGATCGTGGTGTCAAATCTCCTTCAGATATTTCCATGGACATCAAGAAGCTGATTCAGACAACAGGTATTTCTCCAACTCATTACACAGAAGGTGTCAGATTGACTCTTGAGGCTGAAAGTTGTCAATAGTTTGGTACCGACTTGGTGAATGAACTGTTTTATTAAGACAGTTCACTGTGATTGAACCTGAAAGGTTTAAACTTTAAAGACATAATAGAAGTGGAAAAAACTTCAAAGCTTCCTTGTTTCTTACATTTACTGTACATTCTGATCAAATGTAAAAAAGACATTATTCACATTTGGAGGACTGATTTACCGCGTTTGTGGGCTTCGGGCCAACGTTGATTCTTAGCCAAATTGCCCATACCAAAGTTTAAGGAATAGCAAACCACCACATGAGTTTTTTATTTATTTTCACTACCTACAAAATAAAACTATCTCAACTTATAATAAGTCAACACTTAAGTCCAAATAATAATATTAGTATAATATAAAAAAAAAAAACACGATAACAAAATAATGTAATTAGTATTTAAAAAAATAAAAATAAAAATTAAAAATTTCCGCCGAGCCCGCCTAAGAGCGCCTAAGCGCCGCCAAGCTGCCTGGTCGCCGAGCCCGCCTAGAAGCGCCTAGGTCTGCCTAGGCGTCGCCTAGCCGCCTTGCCAATTTTTTCAGCCGATTTATGCAAATCGGAGGCGGCCAAGCACTGCCTTGGTTCTGCCTGGCCGCCTGCGGGCCGATTTTTAGAACACACCTTGTTACATCAAAGATCAAACCAGAGGAAATTACTTGGCCAACGAGGAACCAACCATTTTTCTACACGCTTAAGATGAAATAAAAACTTTTAGCAAATTTATATTATCATGTCATTTTAACTAGTATGTAACCACGAGATGTAAAATTTGGAAGAATAATATAATCTCACGTGCATTAAGATCGAAATTGAAATCATTAAAATACATAGGAACATTGTTGAATAAAAAGTTCGGTAACAATCATAAATTATTAAAATCCTCCTTGTATACAACATTATGAGTTTGATTATTTGGTAACTCCTCATTATCACAAACTAATATTTTCAACCCCCTTCTATTATTTATACGCGAAGCAGCAACATATAATTGGCCGTGACTAAAAACGGATTTCTTCAGAATAAAAAAGAGTTTTTAAAAATTGAAAAGTCAAGGCACACGAGACTTTTTGTTTAGGCAATAGAATATATTATCACCAATTAATGCAGAGTTATTGGGAGCAGTTACCAATATTAAGAAAACCACCTCCAGTTACCAATATTAAGAAAACCACCTCCACATTACACGCTTAATTACTCATCCTCTCTCCCACGTCTAAACTTCCCCATCTCTCCACTCAACTTTCTCATCAGTAAACCCTAGGTACAGAAAAACAAAAATCCCGCCCATACCAGGTGAAATCCCCAAGCGCGGCGTCGGTGTTGACACACATAGGAAGTAGGTGTTGACACACATAAGAGGTCGAGTGCTCGTATCAGAAAAATATTAGCCACAGACAAAAATAAACTCATCCAGAAGAAACTCATTTACGAAAGAAACATGAAGCCAAGTGAAACTCGTAAGGCACTCGGCAAATCTCGTCATGTTAAGAAGAGCTCCAACCTCGATTCCGACGACTTTCAGTCAGACTACGGCGAATTTCAACCGAAAGATTCCATGAGACCTCGAAAAAGAAAGATCCCCAATTCGGCTGAAGGAGAAGAAGCGCAGGATCCAGATTATCGCGGTGAAGATGAAACCCAAATCGCGTAGATGATACCGAAGGAAAGTTGAGCAATGAATTCGAGGATGAGCAAATATTGAAAAAAAGAATAAAAAAAGGAGGAGGAAATCCAAGAAGATGAAGGTCGTTACAAAAAAAAAAAGAGGTCAAAACATAATGCGCAATTGGGAACTTCAATTGGTGATTCTCAGATGGCAAAGTATACAAGGTGAGATTAATTGTTTTATAATATATTATAATTTTAATGTTTTGAGTTCCTAATTCATAAAGTCGAAATCTTGTAATGCATCAGTCTTCTCTTACACCGTAGTTATTTTTTTTTAGTCTAAATGTTTGGTCAAGGTTGTCTTGGTACATAAACATGTGTGCTCCTTTGATTGTACTGGTGGCTTATTTTGATTTTATATAATTTTCTTGGATGGTTGACGGTTGAAAATTTCTCTTTGTTTACTGCGTCATTATGTTCAACCATTTGTAAAAAAAATTAAAAAATTTGATTTGCCGAGATTTACTACATAATTATATATTTTTCATGTTTTTTTTTTCATCGGTATGCCAATATCTATTATTAATCCCATAATTGAACATTTTTATCCTATTTTTTCAATTTAAGGTGGTCCCATGGTTGAAGAAGTTGTTTTGTTGATATCTAAATTATTGTACTGACTCATTGAATCTGGGACACCATATCTATTTTGTTCATTAATTATGTTATAGCATATATAAAGTAAAGTTTTCCTATGGAGTCATCGGATGGCTCGATTTATGGAACCACTCACACTTATTCACCATTAGTGTATTGACACGTGTCCAGCAATAAATACACATTGGACATGTGTCAATACAATAAGTAGTGGATGACTTCATAAGAAAACCATCCAATGGCTCCATAGAATTTTTGATATAAAGTATATGTTTACTATATAATATACTATAATCAAATATAACCATGGGACCACATTATTATAGTATATATAAATATGGTCCCACTAGACTTTTTTAAATTGTTGAAGAAGCATGTTATACTTTATAAGAATCTGGTCCCATTATTCTGTTTGGTTAATAACATTATTATTACAGTTTTTGGAATTATCTATAAATCACCACGGAGCCTGTTATGTTTATGTTTTTATGTTTTTTGTGCGGTGTAGTTTGAGACGCAATATATGTTCCGTCCACATTGTCATTATGTATTGTATATTTGTACTAACAGAGTTATATACTATTTTTGTTTAGTTTAATATTCCTTATGTGTTTAGTTTATTTCTTCCTTATGCTTGGAAAATATGTACTATCATATGTAATAATATTGTTTCTATTTACCACAATACTACTCAATAACTTTAGTTTATTACTGTTTTATGTTTGGTTTATCTGTAACAACGTATAGTACATAACATTACATTATGTTTGGGATATTCAAAGTTATCAAGTTGTGTCCTCAATTGGTGTTATTTTATTTTTATGTAGGATTGAAAATTGCTCGTACCAAAAGTTCAGGAATTTAAATGTCAAAGTTCTAAATAGTAATGACAACAGCAGAGACGATTCTACCATCAGTGAAATCAAGCGAATGCTGACAACCGAGCAGTTAGATTTGTTTAGGTCTTCTACATTTGGTAAGTTCTTAGATCTACCACACTGCAAGGTTCAGAATCAGTTTGTCAATCAGATTCTTCTGCTGAGGGAGGTGCATCAATCAAGGAACGATGAGCTTTGGCTTGACTTTGGTGGGAAATCGCTTCAGTTTGGCATAGAAGAGTTTGTCCTAATAACAGGAATAAAATTTACGGGTCCGTGCAAAAAGTTGAATATTTATAAAGTATCCCAGAGCATGTACGACAAGTACTTTTGTGGTGTTGGATTAAACAGAAATTTCATCCGGTGGCAGCTTCTACAAAAATACTGAAAAAGCGATGCTGTCAAATTTGTCAAGTTACACTTACTTGCAAATTTTCTAATGGGGTCGTAAGACACTCTTCGGGTAGACATATGCTACATTGACTTGATTGATAGTGCAGATTGTGACGATTATAATTGGGGAACTGAGGTTTTTGAGTTCACGATTCACCATTTGAGGAAATCCGTCCACTATCGACAACAGAACCTAGAACCTGGAAAACAGAGAGTGGTGGCTACCTATACATGTGCTACGGTTTTATTCTTGCTCTCCAAATTTCGTTCTAAGAGGTTTGCAACACCACTGAGGGTGTTGTTTGCACATACCTTGGCGGAAACAGCATACCTAGAATGCTTAAATGGGAAGTAAGTGGCAGCTACAATCGTCTCTTTATTTAAAGGACATTTTCCAATATGAATTCTAGCAAGGTAATAGTTATTTCTTAATGTCTTTAGCTACAAGTAATATAAATATATACTTGTATTCATTAATATAACACCATATATTAAATTCTATTTCCTAAGTTCAACAACTTGATACCACCGAGGAAGAGAAAGAGACGTTCATCAATGATTTTTTTAAGAGCAAAAATGATTTCAATCTCAATGAAATCCTGACAACCGACTCCCCACAGCATACCACTAAATATAGTAGCACTGATTTCTTGACCCTATATTTAGTGGTATGCTGCGGGCAGTCGATTGTCGGGATTTCATTGTCATTGAAATCATTTTTGCTTTTTAAAAAATCATTCATGCACAACGTCTGTTTCTCTTCCTCGGTGGGTATCAAGTTGTTGAACTTAGGAAATAGAATTTGATATATGGTGTTATATTAATGAATACATGTATATATTTATATTACTTCTAACTAAAGACGTTAAGAGATAACTATTACCTTGTTAGAATCCAAATTGGAAAATGTCCTTTGCATAGAGAGGCGTTAAGAGATAACTATTACCTTGTTAGAATCCAAATTGGAAAATGTCCTTTGCATAGAGAGACGATTGTATCTGCCACTTGCTTCACATTAAGCATTCTAGGTATGTTGTTTCTGCCAAGGTATGTGCAAACAACACCCTCTGCGATGTTGCAAACCTCGTAGAACCAAATTTGGAGAGCAAGGATAAAACCATAGCACCTGTATCGGTAGCGACCACTCTCTGTTCCTTTATGGATCTGCTGTCGATAGTGGACGAATTTCCTAATGTGAATCGTGAACTCAAAAACCTTAGTTTTCCAATTATAATTGTCACAATCTGCGCTATCATATCAATCATGTGAATGTAGCATCTGTCTAGCCGAAGAGTGTCTTGCGACCCCATTAGGAAATTTGCAAGTAAGTGTAACTTTGCAAATTTGACAGCGTCCTCATCGCTTTTCCAATATTTTTGTAGAAACTGTCACCGGATGAAGTTTCTGTTTAATCCAACACCACAAAAGTACTTGTCGTACATGCCCCGGATACTTTAGGAATATTTAACTTTTTGCACAGCCCCGTACATTTCATTCCTGATAAACATTTCATTCCTGTTATCAGGGCATACTCTTCTATGCCAAACCGAAGCAATTTCTCACCAAAGTCAAGCCAAAGCTCATGGCTCTTTGATTGATGCACCTCCCTTAGAAGAATCTGATTGACAAGCTGATTTTGAACCTTCCAGTGTGGTAGATCCAAGAACATACCAAATGTAGAAGACCTAAACAAATCTAACTGCTCGGTTGGTAGCATTCGCTTGATTT